TTGTGAGATGCAGAGTATAAGACATTAGGAGCACCTGAACCCATCCTCTCAGCTGCCACAGAACAGGCAAGGGCACCAAGTATCCTTCTGATGTCCTTCTGGGAATACCACAGCACTAAGAGAAGCGCTCTAAGCCATTTCCTTTAACAAAATATAAAAAAGAAACAAAAAAATGCCTACAAAATAATCACAGTATTGAAAAGAAAAAAAGCCATTTTAAGACCTACCTTCAATATAATAAGTATAGCTGAAAAGAAATAGAACTTTTGACAAAATACAGCAGCATTCCTTTAGAAACTATGGGGCTGGAAATGTACCCATGAGATCCTTAGACTGGGGATATTTGACCTTTAAAAAAAAAAACAATAAATTGTGAACTCTGTAATTTTCCAGCATAGGTGCAGATCTCTGGGAAGTTTGACTCCTGTGCTTATAGGAAATACTCTGGGTCACCTTTCTCAGCTCGTTTGCAATGCTATATGCATGCAGGAAGCACAGGTTGGGAGCCCTGGGTTTGTTGCCCTCTCAAGATGTTCTCTTGAATCACTTTACAGACTGACCAATTCAGAACTGAAAGGGCTAATGGGAGTGGAAGCTCTTGGAAAGAGCTAATAAAATATTAAAAAAGCATCAATATTGCCCTTCATTACAGTTAGATTCCAGAAAGAAGTCATCATTCAAGACTGGCACACAAGCACCCTTAATAGCTATAAACTGCAAACAAAAACATCTACTATTTTAAGTTTTGTCTGGGCTTTGTATCAATTTCAGTTTGTTTTTGTTTGTTTTGCTCTATGTTACTCTGTTGTTTTTCCTCTTGTTACTCCTGAAAGCCATTCCCAGTCCTACTCTTATGACCCACATTAAAATTGCCACGTACTCTATTATGAGTACAAACATGAGTGAGGTAAGGCCAACGACATGCTGATGATTAAACTTAATTCATGCAGTTTGAAAGTTATAGGCACAACCAACATCTTCTGGACAGTCCCTTCCAAAAGTGGATTATAAAATAAAAAGAAGAAACCAGCTGCATTATTTTTCATATGAAAAGATTTATAGAGTAGTTGAAAAGATTCCTTAAAGCTTATTGTACAAGTGTATTACATGCAAGAAAATCTAACAGCCAAATTTCCAGCAATAGAGCACCAAAACCAGCAAAAACATGCTTTTATTCCCGAGCCTCATAAAATCCATTTGCATCGCACAGACATGACTGAACAAGGCAGGCACTGTTCATCAGACCCTGTTAACATGTTTTCTGCACGAGTGGCTGTTAGCTCAGCAGCAGCACTTTCCAGTAAGATCTCAATTGCATTCTACTGGTGTCCCCACCTCCCCCCGCAGCTTGTCGAGGCCACTGCCAGCCCTGGGAAGGGCTCCAGGAGCAGCCATACTGCATGGAACCCAGCAAACCTACACACAAGTGCTACAGTTTCAACAGCTGAAGTAAGCAAACCAGATGTAATGCTACTGCTCAATGATAGCACAGAGTTCACAAGCCACAGAGCATTCCTAGAGAGCGAACACATTACAATTAAGTGCAAGTTTCAGGTAAAACTCCAGTAGCACAAAGCTCACAGCGAAGAAGCACAGTACTGATCAGCAGAGGCGTTTCTTCTTGCCCTGTATGCATCATAAACATCATGCAGGCAGTCTGATTTCCCTTTAAAACCAAACGCTACCCGAGTGCTCATACAGGACAGCAAAACTGCAATTTAAATTTGTTTTTGCTGTTACTTAATCACTCAAGACACAATTAAGGTCTGCTTAATCAGCACAAGTTCTGCCCCAAGTTTTGGGCCTGATACTCTAATCAGGGCCTTGCAGAGGGTTGCTCTTTCCATGCACCTATCTAGCTGTACTCATCCACAGCAACACGCACCTCTTCCTGTGCACTCAGACTTTACAACTCATCCACAAAGAGGCAATGCCTTGCAGAGGGCTTTCCACATTTGAAAGACTTTTGAAGAGAACTGATTGAGCTACACTCTTTCAACTATCAGCTTTTCTGAAAATGTGTTTTAGTCCAAGATGCCGCTACATACTGGAACAAAAATGCTTTGTTTTACATGTTGGAACTTACTAGCCATTTGGCTAACACAAAGCCTGGTTTAGCTGGGTTTGTTTAATAAAATGAAGCACAGATACAACATATTTGCAGAATGACATCACAGCTCTATTGACTTGGCTTGTGCCCCTCAGGCTCGGTAAGCATGAAATTCCTCTGAGCAAGCTTTTCCCAACTCTGCTCTGTTTTCTCTTTATTCAGTTGTTATGGATTACTGGCAGCAGTTAAGAGAAATAAAAAACAATCAGTCACAGCGTTAAAAAGGACATTTCCTTTCAAAGAAGTAAGAAAGGGCAACAATTAGTTTTCTGGACTAAATGCAAGCTTTCCAAACATCTACATACAGTTAGAGCAAGTTATTTTCCTACTGATATCACAAGAGTCATTGCCTCACCATGACTTTCAGCACAATGAAGTCACTGACATTCAATATTGTCATAACTACAGATAAACATACTACAGACAAACACTGCATACTCCGTATGTAAACAGATGGACAGCCATTAAGGTCAGAAAAGACTTTTAGACCACCAAGGCTGGCTTCCAGCATTTCACAGGGCAGGACACCTCAACAGGCTCTCTTCTGCTGAGCTCCATAACCCGACACAAGTAGTTGTCCAAACAGACATCTCATTTCAGTGTAAAGGCATGAAGAGATGGGAAGGATTCTCAACTCTGTTCCTTCTCTCTGTAGTCTGTTCCAAGTGTTACTCATCCTCACTCCTTATAATTTGTGCTTTATTTCCCATTCTAATTTGTCTGGCTTCAGATCCCAACCTTTAGTTCTTATAATAGCTTTTTACTTTACTTTACTTTTTACTAGATTAAATGAGCCCAGCATTCTCTTTGTATGAAAATGCAATTGTTGTAAGCAACCTCTTGTGCGTTTTAATTCATTCTCTAAGGTTTTTGACAGACTGATCCTCACAAAGCTTTCTAGGTATATTTAAGGTATCACCAGTTGCCAGTATCCTGCCTTTCCTGAGAATTCCCAAGAAAAGATGTCCACACCAGCTGCTTCCAACTACAACTCAGCCTTCTGTTTAAGTTGCAAACAGTGACCAGTCTAAAGGAAAACACACCGATCTTGTTCTTGAAGGCACTTGCCTCCTTCTGTCAACACTCCTAACTGTCATGTCCCCCTCACACCCTTGCATCCCTATACTTTCCACTCTCCGCGTGTTGCAATTTTCCAGGGCTGCCTCTCCAGTTTGTCAGCATTCTTGCAGGAACAGCACAGCCAGGACTGCACCTACTGCTTAACATCCTCTCCCGGTGCCATTTACTCAGACAAAAACCAGTTCTGAAAAACAAGACTTGATCCTCATCCATTTATGCAAGGGCATTAACTTTATTTGTAACACCACCATGAAAAAGGTGCAGGCCTTCATTAATATCTAAACAAATCCTCAAATGATACTAAATTCTTTCCAGCATACAGTTTCCTTTTCCCAACCTGTATCCCTCATTACAAGCCAAACTTTCCATTTGGGTGTTTACAGAAAATATGTTATTTGAATAGTCACAACTGTATCAGGTGATACGCAAGTGATAGATAAGTGGCTGTCCTACTTTCTTCGTTATCTCCCATTTTGTTACAGTTTATGACATCATAAGTGCAGTAATACTGTTCTAAAGTAGTCTTTCAGAAGTGCTTGTAGTACATAACAACACATCTAAAACAGACGAATCTATTCAATAAAGATGCTTCACTGACTGCTACTGAGATCTGCCAGTGGTCTGACTTTGAAGCAGTGCTTTACTGATGCTGCCTAGCACTGATTTTACTTATCTTTTGATTTTTAATATTTGTTAATATCAAAAAGTACACAGAGAGCAGTGCAAATTGACACCGGACAGAATGCATACAGCTTTCACCATCATCAACAGGAAGAAACACGAGATCCTTCCAACAATTTTAGACAGTAACTTGCTTAATCATGATCAAACACGCTTGTCATATCACTAAGCTAACTCAGTAACTGAAACAGTAGGTGAATTCGGGTGTCTGGTTATTTCCTAAGCATGTCATCCTTACAGCCGCTTTGCTGTCCTTCCACTTGTAATTATCTTTCTAAAATGCTCTAATGATATTGTATAAAGTGATATCCCATATAAATGTAAGATTATACAGTCTGGTGTTGTCCATTGCTGCCTGGCACAGCCCCAGTAGTGACCTGCACACAGTCCAGGGTTCTGCGAGGACGGCAGGCACCGCATCTCTGCTGGGGCTGTGCAGAGCTAAGGGTCAAGAGGATTTCCAGGTAAACCTCTTACAGACGGCTAAGCTGCAGTAAGCAGTCATTCTGCCTTTTGCTGAAGGACCCGTCTGTCTTCGCAGGCCCACAGGAAGCCACTGGAGAAGGTGACTGGTGTGCTGGTTAGCCTTAAATCACATTGCGAGACAAGTGCAGCCGTGGGCAGCTTGGAGCCCACAGAGCTGCATGGGAGCTCCTGCAGCAGCAGGGCAGAAGCAGCGCCTGGCAGCGCGTGCAGCACCTGCAGTGCACGTACAGACACCAGCTACAGTGCTTGTGACCACACGTACGGAGGAGAAAACCAACGCAGGCAGAGACAGGAAACACCAGATACTTCCACCTAATTACATGGTCAGTGTCGTCAAATGAGAATTACTTGGTCAGTGGATGCAGGAGTTTTCTTCCTCCTCTGGGTCAGAACAGAGAGGAGTTGCTGCACCAGGAAGGCAGAGGAGGGTGGCAAAAAAAAAAGAAAAAAAACACAACAGAAACACCTTAAATCAGAGACAAATGCAGACAGAGCCCCGTCAGCAGGTATTTGCTGTAACAACATGCACTTACGTAACGAAACAAATAAAAACCAGGGTAGATTGCTTCAATTAACAGAACAGAAGACAAAAGGCACTTATGTCCTTGTTTTCACAGCAGAGAAACTAGAAGTAAACTCTTACCTCCTTTTCTATTTTGAGCAGCTTCTTTACAGCCACCTCCTTGTCCTGAGAAATCCATCGGGCTCGATAGACGCTCCCAAAACTCCCTCCACCGCAGTTTTCAAAAAACTGCAAGTCATCAAATCTAATTTGCACAAATGAAGCACTGGTAGACGACATCTCATAATGACAAAATATACCACAGCGAAACCTGCAAAGAGAAAAGCTGTAGTTATTACACACTCACCACAGATTTATGGATGTTCTTACCTATGTTCAGACAACCCCAAATCAAGAACCTGTTGCAACAAGCACGCTGCAGCAAAAATCTACTGAGCATAAGAAGAAAAAGCCTACAAGCTCACTGCCCAACAGGCTGTGCAAATGTTTACATTATTTGCACAAGCTACTAGGAACAGCTGGGAGACAGAAGAGACTAAAAATACTCCTCCCAAGCACCTTGGAAGGAGCTGCGCAGAAAGCACACATGCCCCTGTGTTGCCAGCACCAAGCTTGCTGGTGAAAGAGTAGTGCTTTCAGCTCCCAGCTCACACAGCAGCTCGGGCACGCCAAGCACACGCACGGCACACTGAGTGGCCGCTGCCAGCCAGGTACAAGCACTGCGCTGGGACGCCCAAAAGCCCGGCCACAACAAATGTCTCCTTCCAAGTGAGTCAGTTCTGTGCACGTGTTACAGCGCAGCGAGAGCTCACGGTAATTTATCTAAGCTACAATATGTGAAATTGTGCAGCATGTGCCAAGAATGGCTTCGGCAGTTCTGAGAGACGATCCATTTTGGCTGCCAGAACAGAACGTCCTTCTCATAGATCTCAAAGCAGTAAGTAAGCCACGTGCCTGCTGCAGACTTCAAGCAACGCTATCATCTAAGCGAGTGGACAGCATGTAATTTTAGGATCCTTTTTCACTGGTCATGGATTGGCAAGCTGTAAGGTCTCCAGAAGAGAGCAGAGCAGGCAAGGTCCTACAGAACCTGAACCACGAAACTATGGGAGAAATCTTCACCTGCTTCCACAAACCTGCCACAATCACCACCGAGTTACTGCACAGACAAGCAAGAAGAGTGAGCGTACAGCATCTGAAGAAGGAGAGATGGGTCTGAATAGAGCAAACAAATAGAGGTCTGGTTTTGCTGGTGAAAACCACATCTGCAGTTATACCCATCTATCTACTTCGTGCCAGAAAGCCCTGCAGGCCAGAGGCTCCTGGGGATGATACCAGGCTTCATGTGCTGTCTGGGGCTGGAAGCTGCACACCTCACATACCTCCTACCTCTGCTCACCACACAACCAACAGCCCTTTTGCAACACAAACGCACAATTTTCCCCTCCCAGTTCTCCAGAACGTGCGCGTAAGTTGATTAACAATTTGAGGTATCATTTGACCATAAATTTGTCACTCTGTCCAAACAAGCCATGAAGACACTCAGATTTTTTTCCATGTTATATAAAAGAGCATACAGTCCTTTCTGGAACTGCCTGGTGTGCTGTAAATCTCCCCACTGCCCACAAGGCTGGAGGCAGCAGCTGCTGGGCTGTGACAAGGAGCCCACAAGAGGCCCAGTGCTGGCTGCAGCAATCCCTGCAGCAGGAAATGAAGGCTGCTCTTCCATTATCTATCAGCTCCTCTGCTGGTAGAAGTGCCCGGACCCTTCTGCTGACCTTTCATTCTTGTTTCAACCTTGCTGTGTTGTCGTTGGTTTTCCTTTCATCTCCTGCATTCCTATGGAAGAGCAGGATCATCTTCTGCACTGCCCAAGCACACACTTTCTCTGAGGAAAAGCTCAAAGGGAAGGAAATCGGTCACTCCTGCAAGTCAGGAGCATAATGAAGGCAGCTCTGACTTTACGCTTCTTTGTCAGTGCTGCTTAATCACCTGTTCTTCAGAAACAAAGGCCCATTCCTCATTTCTAATTCAGCCACCCATCCACAGCAACAGTGTGTACCTGTGCCTCAGAATATATAGCACCTTGCAGGCAAATAAAACAGGTGAACTTCCCAATCTGAAGAACTTAAGGCATGGCCCTGCACACACTTATGCAGGTGGGTAACAATGGTGAAGAGAACAACCTCCCTACTGACAGCAGAATTATTCAGAAGGATACCACCACTCACAAGCAAAAGCTTAAGCAGCACAGTGGGACAATCCACTGAACAGTGCAAGCAGCTGACAGCAGGTGTTTGTGTTGGAGACAGCAGAAGGAGCAGAAGGCCAAGTGAAAGGAAAAATGCATCAAAGGAAACAAACATTTCTGGCCTTTACTGTAGGATTTTGATTACTCTGAAAAGCTGTCAATTATTTCAAATTACTCTGTTTCAAAAAGAAGGTTATCAATTTTATTAAAAATGATTTGACTTCTTAAAGTTAGAACAAGCTGTTATTCTGAGATTTCACTAAAGAACAGACCTCAGCATTTACTAATATGCAACAACATCCACAGCAGACATTTGTTAAATACAAGTGAGCACCCACCTGTGCATCCTCCCTGCTGCTTAAAAGTCCACCAATTCCCAAACCTTTCTGCAATGACAACACGATGCTCAGCACACAAGCATTTCCAGAAGCTACTGTTCATCCCTTTAGCACCTTTTCAGATTTATCTACAACAGTCGGATGCCAGCGCTACAGTCACCAGCATACAATAAAGTTATTCAATTTAAAGAACAATTTGTGGGTTTTTATTAGGTTCTCCAATATGTTTTTTTCCAGAGAAAGTGGAAAAGAGTCATAGCTGGGACATCCTTCATTTAGAGATCTGTAATTAATGAGAGCCTAAGGTAAGCGCAGGGTTTTCTTCTAGATGAAAGAACAAACCTGTTTCAGTATTACCCCATGTTTCTGGATGCAAGGCAGTTAATCCTCAATTAGACAGATCAATCCCTTTGTTATGTTAGAGAAAACAAGTGTTTAGAGCAACAGCTGCATGTGACAATTACACACACAGTTATTAACTTGTCATGCTGTTCTAAAAAATACTTAACATCTGAATTTACACCATTGGTTAAGAGAAATATCTGGTATTTCCTTAAACTCCAGATTCTTATGTCTATCCAAAGCAAGTGCATCACTCCACCCACGCGCAGCATGTTTGCAGACCACGCGTTTCCAGGCCAGGAGAACAGCCCTGCCACTGGCTCGCAGGCCTGGGGCTGGTTTTTGGCAGTAAGCATTTTGGGGGAGCGCTGCCTGCATCTCAGAGTACCAAAATAGGAAAAACCCAGCGTGGCCACCGGCGCTCCCTCCTGTGCCCCAGAAGGGGCTGAGCAGCAGGGGGATGGCCAGGGAGCAGCACGCTGCCTCATTCCTCACACAGAGCCAGGGCCCTGCTGTTCATCACTGCTGCTCCCTGGCACTGACAGCTTCCCCTTCGTGGCCTGAGAGCCACGAGCAGCAGGAAGGGAGAGTCCAGCACAAGCTGCACTGTGACTGCAGTTCAGCACAGGTCTGCAGATTTTAAACCGCATCTCACAACCTGCACATGCACCTGGATGCTTCAGATATTTGACGGCTCCAAAACCACAAAAAAATTTCCCCAAATCAAAATGCAATCACCACCTTTATGTCTACACAAGGAAACCCCTCTGTAATTCACTCCCTCTCCTCAGACTATGGCTCCTCAAAGCCGGATTCAGTGCTTCTTTTGGGAAGGCATCCTGCCAACAAATTGCCAATAAAGTAGTAGCACACTACACTTGTGCTATCTTAAAATACACAGCAGAATGTGCCAAGTTTCCTTATTTGGCAAAACAGCCCTTTTGCTTCCAGGATCTTTGACCACCCATTTTTAGACTCAATCATCCTTTGTATCCACCAGGGCCTACGGGCTGTGGAGACACCAACCTGGGCTGCTGCAGCTGCAGCTTTATTTGGAATTTAACCAAAAAAAAAAAAAAAAAGGAAAAAGAAAAAACAGAAAGCCACGGAAATGCAAAAACAGAAATGTCCTGAAGTATGGCTACTCACTTAATGTGAGCAGAAAACAGAGAAGGAGCTATAGCAATACTGAGCTACAGGAGGTATTGCAGAAGGAGTTTCTGTGAGAGACCCTATAATCACGTTGTGAACTGCTGATGGCTCAGATGCAGGCAAATTCCACGGACACCTCCAAACTAAATGTATCCAAATCCAAAGTTACAGTAACACCAACCTCCCCTGACCAGACCCAGCAGCAGCAGTGCAGGTGTCAGCACTCCAGGCAGTGCCTTGGTTACATGAACAGCAGCACTCGCACACGCCTTGTGTCAGAGGACAGGAATTCTGCCCAACGTCCATTAACAACGTTTCTATTTTCATTTGAATTTATACAAGCTCTGGCACTACTGGAAAAAAAAAAAAAAACAAACAAACAAAAAAAACCCACCAAACTCAGCCGAAATAAGTTGAGTACTTCAGAAAACAAGCTGCTCTATTGTCACCCGGAGCCGCACCAGCAGCAGAGACCGTCCCACTGCACAGCCCTTGGGGCTCGCCCTGCCACCCCGCACTGATGGCAGCAGCGCGGCCGCACCTGAGCGGGGTGTGCGGGGCCGCTGCCAGCACCGCACAAGGTTGTAGGGCACAGGCTGGAGCTCTGGCCCGGTACCGCACTCGCGGCTAACCCGGCACCACCACCGCTCGCACCGTGCCACCCGCACGCCGGGCTCGCTCCCAGCAGGTAACGCGGGCCCGATTCCGAGGGCTTCAAGGGCAAAGTCCTGACAACGCCGAACCGCACGCCTCCAGCAGAAAGCCGCGATGTTCTCAGGCGGTGACCCCGCGGATCCGGCGCTTCTCAATCCCTCCGCCCCGGGACTCGGCAGGGGAAGCGGCGCACGGCGCGGGACCTCGAGGCGCAGCGCCGCACGGCGGAGCGCCGCTCACGTGTGCGCGGACAGCGGCCAACTTGGGCAGGCAGCGCGAAGTGGGGGAGAGCACGGAGGGAAAGGCTGGCAGCGCGCTAGGGAATGAGGAGCGGGAAAGAAGAAAGAAAAAAAAGAAAAGGGGGGGGGGGGGGAGAGAAGGACGTCGCACCTTAAAGCCCAACCTGAGGGATCTTATGACCGCAGCACACAGCGACTCGGCGAGAGCCTCTCCCTCTTTCCCTCCCTCCGTTCGCGACATGTCGGGACACGCGGCCCCCGCAGCGCTCTCCGAGCACTTCCAAACTCGTCCCGGCAGCCCTCCCGTCCCTCCTCACCTTTCCCGAGGACTCCGGGCTGGCGGCCGACCCCGAAGCCGCGGCCCGCTCGCCGCTGCTGGAGGCTGCGACCGGCGCTAGCGCTTCTCCGCGCTCCGTCCCCCGCGCTTCCGGTTCATGCCGGGGAGCCGCCGCCGCCGCCCCCGCGCCGCCTGCCCGCGGCACCACCCCGCGCTGCGGGGAGCCGGCCCGCCGCCTGAGGGCGCGAGGAGGCGCTGCGGGCGCCGGCCCGACGGGCGCGAAGCCCCCCCGGCCCCTCACGCACGCGTTCGCCCGCGTGAGGGACCGGGGGGGCTTCGCGCCCCTCGGGCCGGCGCCGGGCCGCGTTCCCAACCGCGCACAAAAGCGGCGGTTGACCAGCGGGCTGTCCTGGGGCGCGCTGAGCAGTGGGAGGCGATGCCAAGATACCAGAAGGGGCTATAAGGCAATACGGTTACTATGAATTACCGCCGAAATGCCGAGGTGATGGCAGCTCATAGTGAGAGGGTCTGGGGGAAAAGGGGACGGCACTGACAGCACAACCCCAGCCTTCAGAAGATCACCTTAGGTCGGGCGGCAAAATGGCGGCACCTGTCTCCTCACAGGGCACGCCGCATCCTCACAGGGCGCGTGGCCCTCATCCAAGCGTTCTGCTGGCATTGCCATACACTGCTGTTACGGAAGAGCTTTTGCAACTTGAAAATAAGCTGTCATGTTCAGAGGAAGTGACTCAGAAGACTCGGGGGCAAGCAGGATCTTTCTGCTGAGGTAAACACATCACTCGGATGTGATGCTATGGCTTTGGTATTGGCATCGTGAAGGCTGTACGGCCCATCACTGCCCCGCGCCGCGCTCCCAGCTCTGCCAGCTCTGCCCTGTGCTGCTGGAAGACCTCCGGCCCTTGGTATCCCTCATGGTATCCCTCATCCTTTGTTACATCCATGCGTTGATATAGCATATAAAAATCAGCTGTGCTGCACAATGAATTATGAAGAGGTGGGCAGCATCGCTCTGAATCACACGCATTAACTGTAAATCCTTGAGATGTATGGTATCGAGGTGAATCATGGAAGAACTCCTTACTGGTGAATCCAGTACAGTGATTTCATGAACATAGGAGGGTTTTCCCCCAGGCAGGTTGTTCTGCCACAGGGGTGGGGAGGCTGCCAAAAGTTAAAGCAGTAGAACACAAGCTGGCTTTGCCTGGGCACCCACCTCAGGCATTTTCTGTCTGAGCTGTGCCTGTGCAGTACCAAGGGGTGGCTTTGTGCCTGCACCAGTCTCCAGGCAAAGCCAAAGGTGCAGCTTTGTAGAGGAAAGCACAGGTACCAGTGACAAACGGCAAAAGGAAGCTCACCCTATGGAGGAGGAGAGGTGCCACTCAGTCTCATCAATGCTGTGACTAAGGTGTTTATACCTCAGTCTGAGACAATTGCCTATTAGTCAAATGGCTTCAAAATCTATTTAAATGTTAAATCACTCGATCCATAGGCATCTGTTTCAGGCAGCAGTGTGCTTGCACTCAGAGGTCTCCTGCCTCAGGTATTTTGTCCATGAAGCTGTGCAGAATTAGGATATATCATGTCTACCTTTAGGCCCTGGCTGTAGAAATAAATCAATTACTGCAGCAGAGCATGAGATAAACCATCATTCACAGTGGTGGCGAATATTTCCTGCTCCAGGAGTAGGAGAGCAGAGTCTGCGCCAAGGGCCGTGCAAATGAACCCAATCGCACTTCCTCTATTAGAGGACAGTGGATCACAGGAGCAGGAGCCTGAGCCTATGCTGCACTGCATGGGTATTGTCAGACCTACATGGTAAACTACCATAAAACTTTAAATTACGATAACTAGGCCTTAAGTGTGTATTTTGGGTTTGTATTCTTTGTGCTTTCTGTTAATGAGTGTTCAGATATTTTCAAGCTTTTTCCCAGTATCATAAGAACTGAAAAATGGACTAGAAAGGAACAGAAATCTGGGCAGTCACATTTCTTGTACGTGTTCAACACCTCTAAAGCAGTGGGCAGCCTGTGGCAGGGTGACTTTTTCCTCTTTGTGAGGCAGAAAATTTAAACTGAGAAAACATGAGTTATACTAACCTCAATCTTCTTCAATGTACACGCAGAACACAGAAAAATAAAATACTTAACAGTAAACAAAAGTTACTGTAAAGCTATGACGATCATGTAAGAAAAGGGCAGCTCGAGCAACTTTTGACTAAATTTTAGTTTCATGTCAAATACCTCTTCACAACTCATTGCCACACTGGGCGTGCAGAGACGTCTCCCGCCTCCCAGCATGGAAAATTGAACTTCATGCGTGCATCTAGGCAGGTTGAGTCGCTCTGGCTGCCAAAAGCAGCCTCCTCTGCCCCACCAGCCCCACGCCCACCAATGCCCTGCCCAGTAGAGTGGTGTGAGGTGCCTGCTGAAATGGGCTGAGAATATCTTGGGACAAATAACGTGGCTTTCTCCAGCTCAGTGCCTGTGTGTGTGTCAGTGGGCAGTCACACAGCTCTGTGCCAGCATGCAGGTGGAGGGTGATTGGAAGGGGACAGTATGGCAGTGCTCTTCGAGTAGTGGCAGGGAGTTCTGCCAACCTGAGGCACTTGAAACTCGAGACACGGATCATTTGTAGGAGGACACCTGCTCTGTATTTTTCAGTTCTCCTTTAAGACTAGTTCAGAGTTCAGCTCAGTGCTCAGTGCTCCTCTGTTCCCAGTTCTGAGATTTCTCTGAAGTGCTATGTGTGTTTCTCAGGCTGCTATGGCTTAATGAGCTTTGAGCTCAAAAACGTTGGCCTGAAAACATGGGTTCATGCCTGGCTGAGATGCACTGCCTGCAGAGCTGTGCACACACTGCAGTGGAAGCAGAACCATGTGCTGGGATTGATCCTGCCAGCCTAAGCCTTGGTAGCAGTGAAGTGGTGGTGGCATGAAATGTCTGTGATTGGTTTGTGCCAAGAACAAGAACACCAATGGCTTGCCTGCTCAGGGTGCCCTGCCACATCTCTGGTGCCAAACACAATCCACAGCTCTTTTTCATGATCAAAGGGTAGCTTGTGTGGTGCTCGCAGCCCACAGGAGCTCCATCCAGTCCTTCTTTTAGATGGAGTCAGAGAGGTCCAGTAGTGGAAAATTGAAGGGATTGCCTTTAGCTTGGGCTTGAAGGCAGGTCTCCTTCCTGCAGCAAATGGCACAATGGCAGTTTGCCCACAGACACACCCCAGGCCCATGCAATGAGCACCATGACTCCCATCTGCCTCAGCAGCCTGGTCATCAGCTGTTGCTGCAGCACAGAGAATGGCAGAGCCTGCAGAAACCAGCACACACCTTGCGGTCCCTCCTGGCTGCTGCTTTGTTCTGCAGTTGTTCTCTCATCTGGTTTTTGTGTCAGAGAAAAGTAAGGGATATGTGAAAGTGCCCATGTTGTACATTTAACATGAAATTATAAATATGCAATGATAGAATACTAATTTTACATGAAAAAATAATACTTAAAATGATTACATACGTGATTCTAAATACAGGCATTCCTGTGGTTGTGGTGGCCTGTATGTCTGGGTATTGCTAATGCTTCAGGTCTGGCTTCCATGAGCCAATGCTGTACGCTCTGTTTTCAGAATGGGCAGGTTGCAACTTGTATTCTGTGTGTCTTTCGGGCCAGCATGTGTGCAGTATGAGAGCACGTGGAATTTCCACAAAAATGTCAATATCATTAACAATGAGATAGAAATGAGATGGCAAAGTATTATCAAGAACTACATTTCCTGATTGTTTTGTGAGAACGATTGATTCGGCTTTTACTGCCGCTACCATTTTCAGCTAATCATTGTACTTGGCTGTTATTCAACCATTAGGACTTTGCTCAGTTACCATTTCATTACATATTTTTAATTACATATATTGCTTGTACTCATTCTTATTATTAAATTTCGTGGTCCAATAGACTTAATTTGTTGCTCTAATTTCTGCACTTTTTTTTTTTTTCCCTAAACTATAATGCAGTTTAGCACAATTTCCATTGATTTAAAGTTATCCTAAATTCACTGCCGCTGTGCCCATTTGTGTTTTACAGCTCATGCTGCAGCAGGCTCCGTGGGAGAAGCAGAGCCTCAATTTCCTCATGATGTTTTCCAATGCTTGGTCACGGTGAGCCTGGGCAGAGGCCAGGACAGTTCTACCAGAAAGGACCACCAAAGGAAGATGGCAACACAGAAGGTTCAACAACTGGTCGGCTTTCTTTGTTAACACTAATTAATATCCATATTTAGTACACTAACTTACCTTTCTTGAAATGTAAAGGTAGTGACTGGAGTAATAGAACTGTGGAATCATTAAGGTTGGAAAAGACCACTAAGGTCATCTAATCCAACCATCAACCCATCACCACCCTGCCCACTAAACCACATCCCTCAAACTTGAAAAGCTTGAAAGCTTTGGCCACCACTGACAGAAAGCATTAGCTCCTTTGCAATTATATGTTACTACAAGCTTACATTTTTTTTGCTGCTTGTTTAATCCGGAGTTCATTAATTAGAAACAAATCCATATATTGCAGATATCACATCTTTTTGTGTTTAGAGATGACGTAAGTCTCGAAAATGTCCATAACATTAGGCTGCCTCAGAAAAACACAATTTCTAGATAGATCTGTTTAGCTATACCATCTCCGACCCTTTGCCAGTATTTCCAAGAAATGTGACCAACTCCCCCCAAACACTAGCAAACTATGAGCAACAGCAAGTTGTGACAGGAAGGGGAAAAATCCATGCAAACCTCTAACTAGTTTCTGGAAGCTCTGCTAGCCACTCGGGAGCATCACAAAAGAGTTGCATGCCAGACAGCTAGAACAGGAGAAACATTAGGGCAGGAACTTCAAATGGAAGGAAATGCTGGATTTCAAACAGATGCTCGGCAGCAACCTGCCAGTACTGCAGCCCTCAAGGGTCAGTCCTACAGAGAATGAGGACATCTAAAGAAAACCTGAAGCAACACTGGCTTTCTGTTATCTGAGAACAGCCACAATGCTGCTGATAGTACTCCTGCACGGAAATAATGTACACCTGCGAAAACCCACAAAGAGTCAGCGAACGCAGCGAGCAGATTCACTTGCTGGCTCGTACAGCATCTAAAGAAAGAACTATTTAAAAACACAAGAGGTGGTGTTATAATGAGGAAACCATGGAGAGCAGGAAGCTTATGATTATTGACAGAAGTTGATTAAGAAATGGATTATTGTCTGGTAGAATGGTGGAGTATCTACTGTCACCACTAACCTGCGTATCCTTATGTAAATTTCTTCTAATTGAAGTATTCATTTACAATCATTATTTTCATTGGTAATGTGCTTTATTTGCATTTGAAAGCAAAAAGAGAAAAAAAATGAAGCATAACTCGCTGACCCCTGCCATGTGATAAAGGCTAAGCTTTCTGTCACTCTGACCCAAATGGATTAGGGCCAGGAAATAAAGGTCAGTCCCTACCAGTACCCCTGTGTGTCACATTTTTGTAACACGGAGTTTCCAAGAAAAATATTCCAATTTGCGTCAGTAATTATGTGTTCTTCATGTAATTTCATATCGTTTTCTGAGTTTATTTTGAATTAAAAAATTACCTTTGAGTGCCAAGCCTGTTAAAATCCACCCTTTTGTGAAATATCTCCCAGCAGTTAAGTGCATGTTACAGATTTTGTTGCTGTACATATTATAAGAATTTTCCTTTTTACAGTAGTCCCTTCATCACTTGAGCCATAAGCCACCAAGACCTGAAGACCATGGATGGATTACATTCCATTGGGATCTGACAAGGTATTTCCTTAGTTAGAGAGGAGTATTTTCTTGCTAATACAGTGCTCAGAGCGGAAGAAATGAAAGTGAGTCTTCCCTGCTGTGAGATGGCAAAGCTGGACTATGGCTTCTCACCATGGGGAGAAGCTAAAAATCAGGTTTTAGCCACTAACAGTGTCAGGAAGCCCCTTGCCCAGCAGCAATGCAGCCTGAGTTGGTCAGGAATGCCCCTGCCATGCCTGGTGTATCCCTGTCCCTCCCCGGTCTCCCTCAGCTTGACTAAGGGCAGGAGAGGCAGCTGTGGCCTGGTGGGACATGGGGCTGCTCTGTGTGTTTGAGCTCTAGTTGAACACAGGCAACCAGAGAAGTTTCTGGCTTAGTGATTTTAACGATAACTTTTTAATCTGGTCATTATTTTCTTTGATTGCTAATACATTGACCTCTGGTGACAGCTGCTGCTTGTGCCCGCTAAACTTTAATGCAGGATAAAGTAAAGAACATTATGATTATTTGAAAAGGCACAGTGTAATGCATTTCAGATTAACAGTGAAAGAAAGGCTATTCAAGTTAGAGCTTCACTTTGCCATATCATTCTCTATGCTGCTTTCCTTATTATCAGTACAAAAAATGAAATGGGAATAGCACATCTTTTAATTTTCTACCACTATTACCTCTTGATTTGCATTCAGAGCTCCCAGAAGAAATACTGCTGAATTCAGAAGTAGTCTATTTAAGCTGCATGGTGTTTAAAAATTGCTGGAAAAGGTTAAGGTGCTGTATATTATGCAGTTGACCTTACTAAGAAGCTATGTTAACAATTTAGACTTATAATTTTCTGCCGTTACATTTTGTTAATTTTTTTTTCTTTTTTTTTTTTTTTTTCAAGCAATATTCATTATCTCTTTTGGAATCCCTGCAGCTTAAACCCTTTGATTTCTTTCTGACTTATTTTGTAAGATTTTTAAATTATATTTAAACTTCTTGTACCTAAAAGATTGTTTTGCCACCGCGTCTTTGAAAAGAGGGATTTTTTTTTTTGTCTCTGTGTCTTTGTATTCTGTCTGCTGAGGCCATGCACCTTCACAGCACTTTCCTTAGGAGGAAAAAATGCAAAATCCTTTAAGAGTCTTGCAAACACATCTGAACTCTTTTGTCTGGCAGTAACTTGTCTTTACAGTTGATCAGGTTAAAACAAAGTGTCTGGATCCTGCCTTTACCAAACAGCAATAGCCTTCTGGTACTCTGGACTCGGCCTCCCTGGATTTAGCTTTTGTTCCATGGCTCTACATAGTGCTGACCAGCACCAGGGCTAAGCATGGAGAAAAACAACAAATCCTAACAAAGCTACAACAGGAAAACGTGCTGTGGAGGAGAGAGCACAATCTTGTAACTCTTTTGACTCTGTAGCCCTTAGTAGAGATGTTTATGCTCCATACTTACTGCAAAAAGCTTTATCAGTTGTGGGATTCTATAAGATGTTTTTCAAAATGCCCAAGGTGTTACCATATGGACTCTGGGATCTGCAACCTCACTTGTCCTCAGCAACAGGATCATAGATGCTGCCTCAGATCGCCTCTCATCTCAAAAGCACCGCTGTGACTTTGCTAGAAGAAAACAAGGACAGGAGCTCTGGGCCATGAGCTGGCTTTAAATCCTCTTGGGTCCCCGAGTCCCTAAGGTATAATCCTTGTTTTGAACAGGTTTACATTTGTGCAGTCTGAAGTGCTGACATAAGTACCTTCTCAAGCAGTGTGGGATGGGGTGTGAAACCTCCAGGTCCCGTAAGGGCTGCAAGGGGAAAATGCAGACAGGCCAAATGTCTCCCCATTTTCAATGACAATGGCCCCTCCAGATCATGCCTGGGCACTCCCATGCTGTGTGAGTTGGTACATGCCAAAATCAGGCCAAGCAGCGTGCTACAGCTCACCCAGCATGGACCCAGCAGAGCGCTCCCACACAGGGAGTTGTGACTCGTGGCTGCAGACACAGGGTGAAGGTGATAGGGGTATTAATATTTCAGTGTTTCTGGAGTTCCTATCATTCTTTCTGCTATTGTGACACTGAAGCTTCAGGCAGCAAAAGCTACAGATCAACAGCTGCTTTCCAGTTGTAAAGTCAACAACAGGAGAGGAGCCCCATACAGATCCTAGAGCCAGAAGGTAGCTTAATTCATTTAATCTCTAGGTATGTAGGCTGTGATCAGTGCCATAGCAACTATCTGAACCACTCGAATGAGTTAGATGCACAGATAGCGAGCTGTTATTTATACAGCACCCCTTATTGGAAAATTTAAAAATGCCAGACACCAGTTTCATTGAGATAGGTAAACTGCATTTATTTGTTGATACAGAGGTGCCATAAAATCTCTGAATCACTGGGATGTATCTATGTGATAGAGACTGTTTGGCAACAAATAAGCGAGGCAGTTAGAGGTTCTAAGGAATAAAAGAATAAATAAAGGGGATAAAAACACATTAAATGGATGAAGAATCAGCCTTTGTGCTGAGCCAAGTTGAAACTTGGCAGCTTTATAAACCAGTTAACACAGTAATAAATGAAAGTCCAAACAATAGGAATAAATCTGGAACAAATAAAATCACGAACTCAGAAATGCTATGAATTGATTGTAAAGATAAAAACATCTTATGAATTAATTCAGAACCTGAAGTTTACTCTAATGCATGCTTTGCTTCTGGGAAGATTCTGCATCTGAAAAAGCTATACGAAGTATACTCATAGAGCAGTACAAAGGAAAATAAGAAATATTTATTACTTGAAATAACAAGACAGAAACTCGTCTCTATGGTTTTAGCTGGTTTTCCTCTGAATCATCTTGAACTTCTAGTCAGACAGCAAAGTTAAAATAAATTATGTCATCATGCTGCAGAATATTTCTGAACCGTGTAATTCTTTCCTTTGCAGAATGCAGGTACAGAACAGCTAATAGTCTAGCATGTCAGTATTTCCCTGGTGATCCTCAGCTTTTGCAGACTCTATTTTAACTAAAAGGTTGAAATTATTTTTTAGATATTAAAAAATATAATCTTTATGTCTGCACTGACAGTACAGCATCCTGGTCAACTCCAAGGAAAGTATACTCTGTGTCTGAGAGGTAGGCTGTATCAACGAGGCAATCTCTGAAACTTAATTATGAGAAAATACCTGCAGCTTCTAATATCGGGCTTAATTGATTTTATGACATTCAACTTCCCTGAGCAGAGCTGGTGTGAATCCAATAGGAAAGATTTTGGCCATGTAAACATTATCATTTCCTTGGCACCTGCCAGGCCCCACATGTGCTTGCTTAGCAGTAGCACAGCCATCCCAGGAGCGTTCAGATGATCACTACTGATCCTGATGGGAATGGGGCCCAACCAGATCACTTTGTGGTTCTGGGTCTTCTGGAGGGCAGGAGCCAGGGGCCTTCCAGGTCCCAAGGTCTTACTCGAGGTAAAATCTTGTCTGAAGTCAGTAGGTTGGAATGTTCACATTTGTGAGTGAGGATGACAAACTTCTGAGTTAACTAAAATTAAGAATTAATCACTTCTTCATTTAAACCTTTCCACTACAAATGGTTTCTGTCTTTATGTGGGAGCGTCAGGGCCCTTCTTAGCCTGAATGAGCTGGTGTTGAACTGCAGTGCTGCTGCTCTGCCATGGCAGGGGCGCATCGCACTGGGTTTATGGTGGTCATCTCCACCAGCGTAGATATGGGCTACATGTAGTCTCAAGGCCCAGCAAAATACAAGTGAATTTACTGTAACTGCCAATAAGCAGCACTAGGACTTACGCAGGAACGAAGCTGAATGTGCAAATAAGGCCAGTGACCAAACCTTTCCAGCAATTACGTTTAATAAGGTACTGAGTGTTATTTACAGAAACACGTCACACAATTCCTACACGAGATGCACACAAAGTATAAAGACAAAAGCTGCACTTGAGAACATGCTAAACAAAATAAATAAAACAGAATTATTTTTGCACAATGGCTATTACATAAATAAATATTGTAGAACATAATGAATTAATATTTATTTACAGTCTGTTGAAAGTGCAAAACAATTGGCTGAAAATTTAGATATTTGTAAATGCTTAAGACCAGAAAATACTTGTTAGCCAGCCAGTATTAATCATAGCTGAAGGTTCTGATGTCCAGGAAACTATTCTCATGAAATCTGTTTGTGCATATTGTGCTCATTTCGAATCAGTCTTTTGCTACCTTTATGCTATTGATGATTTTGACAGCCTGACTAATTCATAGTGGAATTTTGTAAAAACCTGATAGTTTAAAAAAAGAAATAAAATGTAAACACAGATTAATCTAGCTATCGTTCAAAATATTTTCAGTCCTGTCAGTTTTCTGAAGTGGCCATGCTGCTTGAAGTGGTAGGCAGTATGAGTAACATTAGAATTTTTTCTTAGTATCTGCTGTATTTCAAAGGGAAATTTTTAAGTATTCCCTGAATGGAATTATACCTTGGACAATTCTCCCAAACCTCTGCTCTTTCATCAGACGCTTACATACATCTCGTATTGAGATCAACAGTAGCTGGGGAAGCAAAACTGTCAGTTCTTTCCTGACCTAGGCAAGAAATTATAAAACATGTTTTTAGTTAGAGAGAAAAACACTAGCTCCCTTAGAAGTGTTAGGAGCTTTTTTTTTTTGTGCATTTTAAACTATTTTTCTTCTTCCCTCTTTTTAAAATTCATACAAAAATCATTTACTGCACTTTAAAATGAGTTAATAGTACACAACATGGCCACCCTTACAGCTACAGTGCATAAATTCTTTCTCAGCCAAAGTTCTCTGACAGGTTGTGCGTTGTCTAAGACCTTACAGTATGTTTTTGCTTATTTTTGTAGTGGCAGTGCAGTCGCAGAGAAAGTGAAGTTCTTAACAAGTGACCTTGACAGGATAAAAGATCATTTCTCATCATTGCCTCAAATGTTTATGCCCGACGCGGCTCTAGTCGGTGAGACATCTGTGATAAAGTTCTCTGGTTGTCAATCACATTTAATTGCCTCACATAGCTCCGAACATCCTGATGGTTCTTATTAGCTAGGGCTGCGTCAGGATCTAGTGAAAGAGAAATGATGTAGGATTGATACACTTAAATGAACAAATGCCTGAACAGAATGCATAACTCATTACAAGCTGTCACAGGAAGCACCAGATCCTGGTGAGTTAAAACGAAAATATTTAGAAATCTCTCTCTTTGAAACCTTTCCTTCATATCTGACAGTCTTTCTGGTTACTGCCCCTACAAATTAACTTTTCCTCCCAGATATCTGTAGCTACATTTACTGGAATTGATGGCTCTTGGTTATGGTTTTATAAATCACCTTACCTGTCAATAACTATAAATTCAATAACTAACTAGCATGATTTAAAGCTTCTTATTTGCTTTTGAACCAGCAGTGTTCCCACTGGTTCAGAAATATATAATAGATTTAAGCCTCTTTTCATGAAAAATTTGCATTTCTATCTCAGTATTAAATCTCTGTAACACTGTGTAACACAGTGCTTAGTGGCTGTCCCATTCAAGACACAAGGTTTACCACCTATTTACAGTACTTAGTATAACTGCATTGTAAGTACTCCTACAACAATTATGAAATCCCACTAACTTCCAGTTTGAGTATCTTCAGCCTCACATTACAATTTAATGAAATATGTGGTAGGTAACTCAACAAACTTCTCCAACAGAAAGATAACTGACGCATCCACTATATAAACACATGCCAAGCACAGGACTTAGATATGGTACATCTAACTACTCTCATTTTGTTATATCAAGTATAGTGAAAATCCATTTCAATTTCTCAATAAATCATATGTGGAGGTCTCATAGTGCTTAATATATGGAAATTAAAAGACAGATGGTCAGAAAAAGACTTGGGCTGGAAAAAAAGCTCCCTTGATATTCAAGAGTTATGCTTTGATGCAAATAGAAAGAATAAAAAGATATTTTTTAGACTATCTGTTCTGTTGAGAAAGAGAAGGGCTGCTGTGAGGCAAAAGCGAATGAAGCACTGAGAAATGCAGTGCCAGTGAGTCCAAGTTGGGACAAGGCCAGCAAAACAAGCCTTGCTATCACGTAGCGCCATCATCTTACCTGGCCCCACATAGGTTCAGATAATTATACTGACAAACAAGTTTTAAATTCATCACCTTAGGCAGTTATGTCACCCATAATGTCATCTTTCTGGCCTGGTTTCCTACAAAAGCAGGATTTATGCAAGCAAGCGTCCTGCATCTATCAATGTACTTCTGTCTGCTGATCTCACCTCAACTGTTTCTGAGCCCAGAATTTGAACCTATTCTAATCTGAGGGTTTTGTAGACACCTCACAGAAACTTAGCTCCTTTGCATTCTTTGAAAAAGAGATGGAGGAGAAAGAGCTTACTAGAACTTTGCCAAGGATAGTTCACCCTGAGAAACATTAGAGGATCCAAACAGGGAAGATTCATTGGAAACCAGGCTTTTTCAATTCTGTTACACACAAACTGTAATTCCTGTAGCTACTGATGGTAACGCTGACTGTGCAGATGTTGTAATACACTTACTGAAAGATTGACTTCGGCAGAACTTCACCGTCCTGACAGTGTTGGCAATCATGCGCTGGAAAGAAAAGATGGGATGCAATCAGGAAACAAGCACTGTATTTCATCATCATTTAAACGAAGCACCTAATTGTGCCTGTGTGTGAAGATATATGCCAATAAAAGAAGTCTTGTGAATGAAAATATAATTTTAAGGCTGATATTCTCATACGTAGGGTCTGATTTGCATTTACACAGGCTTTAAATGAGCATGAATGTAATTTACATGCGCTCAGAAAGCCCTTTCCCTTACTTGGAAGCTGCAAAATGCTTTAACTAAGGATGAAAATCATCTCCTTCAATATACATTTATTTGATACCATCTTTCCATGTTAAAAAGAAAAAGGAATATCACATACAATGGCTTGGAGTATGTACACTTTTTCATTTTCAGACCATCAGCTCCTAACAGCAAAGACATTTCCAGAACACAGTCAGCAGCTAAGCAGCTTTCACGTTTCATATCTGTTTGAGTTTGGAATGGAGCCCTCCTTGGAAATGACAATAAAAAATGATTAGATGAGAGCTACTTTCACCAATTCTCAAGCATGTTGAACTCACAGATGGGAATGGACATGGTTAGCACTGTGGTCCTGGGCAGGTTTCATCAAGCAAACATGTTAGTGTTATCTTGCACAAGTGTATCTGATCCAAATGAGAAGCAGATTCATTTTTGATGGATACTCCTACTGGCAATTCACAAAAAAGGAGAATTTACTTCAGTTCTCTTTGGCTGTGCTTGCTCTTCAGTATGCATCATTTCATTTAAGTAAGAAACTGTTGCTCAATATATTTTGCTCTGATAAATCAGATGCTATTTTGCAAAAGTTTTTAAGAAGAAATGATGCTAAGTCATAAAGCAAAACATTTCAGCTTTAATTCTGGACTGCAAGATTTTAACTGACTTTTGTAATTAACAGCACTATCCACCAGTGCTGGCTAGAATTATTCTCCACAATATTAAATAAATTGAAACTTCAGCACTAAATTCCCTTTGCAAGAAAGTTTTATTCATTCACTGATTTTTTTGAACCTTTATTTCAGTTTCTTTTGCTTAAATAAAGTTTAGCAGAACAGGGAAAAGCTAAGCAGAGCCTAATGTTTGCTCCAGCACTTTAACATCATCCAATAATCACAACGTAGTTTAATATTTTAACATAGCACACTCTCACAAGGCTGCTTCATATCTACTTGAAATTTTGTGTGAGATTCACAAGTTCTTGCACAACAAAATGATATATTTGTTACTAGTAAATGGTTAAACCTGTATATTCCTCAAAATTCATACATAATTATAATCTTAAGTGAAAGTGGTTAAATAAATATCAGTATCATTCCAAGAATGGGAAGCACTAACGTAAAACATTCTTTCCACACACATCAGATTAATAATTTTTGACATTTTAATGCACTGTCAAGATCCAAAATGTTATGGCTGGTGGTCACCATAAGAAATGCTTACTGATACATATTACATTTTTGTGGATTACACATTTTGTAATCAAATGAAATGCCATCACTCTGAAGCTGATGGCAAAAATACTTTGTAACACAAATTTACGGAAGATCGTGGGAATTTGGTTGAGTCTACTTACTTTGCTTCTAAAGTCATATGGACTTATATGTGGAAAATAGGTAGATTTCAAGTAAGAGTCACTTTGATAGTATGTTAATTTTCATAATTCTTCAAGCCATTATTACTAAACAGATTTTCTAAGGCACTTATCTTGCAAACATTCTCATATATATACTTAGCATTAAGCATGTGAATAAGCCCCATTGACTTTGATGGAACCACTTAAATAGTCAAGGATAAGCATCCATTATAACAGTGGATTGAGACTGAATGCACTGCGTATTACTGTGTTGGCTCTTCAAGTTTAACCCAATCAAAAAAAAATCAAAACAACATGAACATGAAAACATGAATGTTTCATAACTCTGTGCTTTCATATTTGTCTCTGACTCTTAGGTGTTGCTGTTATTTCGACACGTATTGTTTCAAGCTCTTCTCCAAAATAACTGCTTAAAGGAAAGATCGTGAAGTTGGATTAGACCTGCCAACCTGATGAAAGTGTCAAGATTGTCTAACTTAAACGGGGAGCTTTCCTAAGTACAATTCATTCTCATGAAGACTTCCGGTGTTGCTTGATGTGCTTTCTAGTTGGGTTGTCTAATTGTTAATGTTGGTAAAGTTTTAGGTTTTGAAGCTTCAATTAATAACGGGCTTTGAAGCTAGGCTGCATGCTCAGTTTTTTATTAGTTTAGCATTAAGTTTCTTCGTTAAAAACTTACACTTATCAAAAAGACTGTTCTGTGAAGTAATTTTACTCTTTGTTTCCTTTATGCGAGAAACATTCATAATAGTTACTGGCAAGGAAAACAGAAACAACAATGAACTCCTCTGACTTCTAGTTAAGGGTTGAACTGCCTGGTCTCCTTCAGTTGGCTGAAAGTTTTAATTTTAAGGAGTTAGTGTGCTTGTTCCTGGGGATAATCTTATTCAGTCTGTGCATTCAGAACGACCCTGGCAATGATGAAACACAAAGGAGTAAAGAAGTGGGTGTTATTGCAGAAAAAAACAGAGGAACTCTGGCCAGAAAAGAACACTGTAGCCAAACAGGGAGATTCTGGAGCATTATATATCCTTCAAGATCTCCTTTCACATTGCTTTTTGCAAGAGCTTTTCACTATCTAATATAAACCCAAACCCTTTCCTCTTTGGAAGGTGTGAATTGGACAGAAAAACAAAACATGAAGTGAATTTTCCTTTCTGAATCATGCAGATAAATTGGATTCTCTTCTTTTGAGGCAAGAAAACTGGAAACATACAGAGAAAATGGTCAAATAGAAGTTTAATTGCCAGCTCCTTCTTTTTTTTTTTCTCTTCAGAGGATTACCTCTAGTCAATGGCTGCAAAAATAAACCTCTGTTTACTCACTGTGCTAAGAAAGACCATTATCAGAAAGCCATACAAGACTAAATATGTGTCTTTCTGAAATGAATCAACTGCATAATATAACAAGCAACTGCAACTACCAACATGCTATATATACACAACAATACCCTTTCAAGTTTTATGCAATCTGGAACAGTGGCAGCAGGCCAGCACATTATCTTCTAATCCATTCCAAACCAAGGTTTTTAAATGTTATACATATTCATACATGCCATAGAAAACTAGTAGGGGCTTTAGTCAGACACTTTTTGCATAATCTTTATGTTCCAAAAATGAAAGAATGTTTGCCCTTTTTTGCATAAGGATCAGAGTGAAAATTCCCTTTTGTTCATCTCCACAAAACCTGAAAACCAATATGCACGGATTCTCTAATCCTCATTTCACACCTGAAGGGTGAAGAAGTTTGACAAAAAGAAGAATCAGTGACCAGCTTCATGGCACTGCCTTGTGCTGTCATGGCAGGTCAGTGGTTTCAGAGCTCTTTTGTGACTTCTGCTCCCTCTACAGGTGCCATTTCTGAGATGCTGCGCAGTCATGCTACGTGGAGATTGTGCCAGGGAAAGTTCAGGCTGATGATTTGAGAAATGACATCAGTAAAGTTCCTAAATAACTGCATCTTCCTTCTCTCTATGAATACAAAATTCAGTAGTAGCAGTTAGAGTGCAGGATTGTACAGCCAAGATGGGGAAAAAAAGAAGATAAATTGTATGAAGTATTGCCTGTCTTTAAGGAGGGTCATAGATATATTACTATGTCCATACTAGTGCCTTACAGGTTGCAAGTTGTTCCACTTTTATTGATATTATACAGTTTATAGGAACTAAAACAACTGACAGCTTTTTGGGGAGGTTCTTCTTCATGTGAAAAGAGGGTCATTCATGGAACTAAACGACAAATGTGTATTTGAGATCATAAATTGTTTGCTATCCATGGATATCTTTTATCATACTTTCACCTGCTTACAGATCTCAAAATACCCTCAACCTGCCAAACTACAACTGCAGCATTCAGGAAATTTTACAAGCCTATTCATTCCTCAGTCCTTTATGACAACAGATCTTTCAGTTTGTACAGATAGGGATCTTATAAAGCACCACTTATTACTAAGTGGGGAAAAGATGCAGGTAGTTTTTACCATACAAGGTCAAAGAGAATGTGGAAGGCACATCTAAGCAATACTTGTCGATATCAGCTTTTTACAGTGAGATAAGGAGAACTTCAGTATTGCTCTAAAACAATGTCTTTTTTGGTACTGAAGACATATCTTTTACAAAACACTTATACTACTAATAGCAGTAATTTATTCTGTCTACTTACTTACAAAAGCCACTTTCAGGCTGGATTTTAAGGGCAAATCCTCATTTCTTCCATCTCCCTGCCTCTTTACTTCATGAAACAAAGTGACATGGCAAAAAAGCATAGCAAATACAAAGAGGGTTCATATTTCTGACGCATTAAATATTGCTTGCCCACATCACATACAGACTACCTGGATCAGCTTACAAACTTCCCTGTTTGCATATAACTATGGCTCTATCACACATTGCTTTCTCTTCCCTGGTTTACTTTCCCTATATCCTGTTCCTCACAGCCTTCCCCAGATAGGAGACTTCCATGGGGATCAGGAGATGGGGAAGAGGAAGAAGGAGCAGGTAGTCACAAAGATAGCAGCAGGTAAAAGTTGGTGATGCTCTGTGGAGCAATGTCCCCTCGATGTTGTCAATACCACAGTTCTGCCACTGCACCTCTGAAAAGACTGATTCACAGAGAACTGCAGCAGGAAAAACTGGACTTGGTTTCTTTCCCTTCCAGTCTGACTTTCTGAAAATAAGCAAACAAACTAGGTTTATGTGGTTAACATCAATCTATTTTCCTCTTTTCCTCTGAGTAATTTTGTCAAATTTGAGAAGAAGCCCGAAGTTTCAATGCTAAGGAAATTCCTACCAATTTTCTGTGAAAACACATAGCTATGGAGAAGGATCACATAAAGGGCCTCTTCTGTCCCCTTTAGGGAAAAGGCTGTAAGTTCCTATGTTATGACAAAAGCCTATTCGTGCAGAATTCCCCAGCCATGAAGAAAGCACACAAAACCCAGCCATGAGGAAAACTCTGAGCAGAACTTAGGCACAGAACTTGGTACAAAAACTCTGAGGAAACTAGGCCTCGCAGTTTCTGGCACTCATGGAATTCCTGGCTCAGACACTGCCTGACAGCTCCTGCGTGTTTCAAGATGCATCGTTTAATATAAACAACAGCAGGAACATCAGGAAACATAAAAGATTTAAAGGAAGCTTCAGTTTCAGCTGAAGGATGCCACCAGATCAAACTTCTGCTTTTGGCTGCCAGTTACAGGAATAAAGTTGTCAGCAGCACATCAGCTGTCGGGATCAGAGCTCTGTGGTGAGAATGCAGATACAATGCCAGCGGCTGTTCTCAGTTTCATCACTGCTTACAAGAGAAATGGAGAGACCAATCTCCTACTGCAGAAAATGGCACCACCAGTGGGAACTACCTGGACATTTTTATTCATAAATTTAAGCAAGCGTCAAAGTTAAGTTTGAGGGAAATCATTTTGCAAAGAATGAAGACGTTTTAGACAGATCAGTAATAGAATGGTTCCTAGCAATATTTAGAGATATCTCCATTTGAAACAGAATAGCATGCATTAGAACAAACATGCAGAAATGACAAATAGCAGGTCATAATTCCTGTGATGAAATCTGGTTTCTACTTTTCTCCTGAAAAGAGTAGAATAACATCACAGAACTACTTTGATTTTATACTTGCTAAAGAGAGCACACTTTATCTGCGAGTTATCTGACTGAATGGTCTTGTCTTGTTTTCACTAGTTAATATCTGGCAATTATTTGTGGATATGATTGTTGTAAGCTTAACATAAGTAGGCAGTACTGACTGAGTTTTAGCAGTAGGTCTTTTTTTGCTTGACCTGATGGCACACGCAAAAATCAAAAAACTGCCAGGCTCACATTAGGATTTGAATGAGTTATGTTAGTGGAATCCAAATACATGCTGTTTTGAAGAGCTAAGAGAAGCAGTAGACACATGCAGAATAGCCAGTAAAAAGCAGTAAAATAGCACAATATACACCTGTAGTAAGGCCTGGAGTAAAAGAAGAAAGAGCCTTTAGGTACAGTACTAACTAAAGAAAGGCTTAGAGGTCTGAGCAAGGAGAACATTCCTTGCCATCATGTGTGGAGGAACATGAGATATTTTAATTCTTTGAAAAACAAATGGCATCAAAAATAAAACAGCTGAACTTCAGTTTCCTCTCCTAAGTAAAATAGTTGAAGCTCAGATTACTGATCAAAACAGGTAATACTATGTTCATTCAGTATAAATTTTTGTTTCAAACCTTTGGGTGCTACTAGTAAATCTACATTCTGGTTTGTTTCTGGTTCTACTTTGAAGATAAAGGTATGTGCAGATATGGGCGAAAAGGGCAGATCTGTAGCAGCCTACATATATGTCAGTTTAAGCTTACAAGTTTCACTCTTGGCCCTGGGACATGTAAGTAGGCCAAGCAAGGTAGAGAACCAGTGACTTAAATGGTTATAACAATACCGTTACCATCCCCATAGTTTGGCGGGGCTCCAGTCAAGTCTGAGATCCCTTTGTATTACCACTAATACTTCTCATCTACACTTATTTACATTTATCTGCCTAACAAGAACAGGCAGTCTAGGAAAAAGTCATTTGCCCCAGGCAGAAAAGCTCAGGGCCTTAGGAAGGAATTGTTAACAGTGTCTGCATATGCAATTACATATTTCATTACTGAAAAGTGAGGTCAGGCCCTTACGCAGGCATTAGTACAGCCATTTACACACATGAGAGTCTCAGCTAAGTAGAATGGCATTTCCACCCTAGGACTGTTCTGGAACTAGAGAGCAATATCTTATGAGAAGAATTTACTCATTGATAATCACTTTTCTATGAAGCTTTCTAAAGAGCTGAAAGTTCTCATTTTTTTCCATTCGGAAAAAGATCACAGCTCACGACACTCCTCTGGAGTGCAGTGGATGTGGTTACTGCAGTACTTAGAACAAGTAGATGCAGGTGCCACCGTAGATACGGTCTAGCACTGCTGAATGGAGTTTAACTGGCTGAATGGAGTTTAACTGCAGACACAGAAAGTCAAGCTTTGGTTTTGTAAGGTTAGGTTGCTCATAGTTGAGCATCGCCATCCCTGGGACTCAGATCTATGTGCCATTAATCACATTAATTGAGAATGTGGCCTTAGTAGCCAAGAAAATTTCTTCTCACTATTGAGAAACTTGAGTTTCAGTCAAGATCTCTCCTATGGGAACTTGCCTGCCTGCAGTTTTTGACAGTGTTTGAAATGATGAGAGCTTGGGTGCAGAATTTAAAATAAATAAAATTAAAAAAAAAAAAAACAAAAAAAAAACCTATTGTTGCTGATCTCTTTCCAATAGGAAAGCAAACAAGTTATAGAAGACTCTTTCCACTTGTTAAGGTGGAAATTAGATGTACATGTTCTGTATTAAAGCTCCTTTCACTCTCGGAGGAGCAATGCAGAACTGCCCCAGCCTGAGGCAGTTCAGTCTTGTTTGAAGGAACAGCAGTTAAATCACAGCATGGTCTCAAACTGGCTGTTAAAAGCGGCCTCTAACAGCTCTGCTTCCCATCACAGCTGCTGCCTCTCCTAGGAAACATTCTGGCTGTGCACGGCTCAGTGGGCAGTTTCTTTTCTATCTCCATGAGGTTTTCCAGAAATGCAGAGGGTGCAGGCTCTGTGCACAATGCACTACTGTTGCCAGCTCTAGGTGCTGCCTTCCCTTCCTCTGGCTCTAGAAGTCATTGCTGCAAAATTCACTCTTGAAGAGGAGAATAAGAAGGCTTTTTTTTTTTTTTTTTTTTTTTTTTAATTTTCATCCCACAACCACCATTTCAAAAATGTAATACATACCATCTTTTCAAAGTTTACTAGATTGTCAGTGAGTGTCTTATTTCCCTCATGAGTAAACGTCATGTCTGTATGGGAATAAAAGACGCATTAAAGCCCATAACCGAATCATGGCATACAAAACAACAGAACATTTTATCTATTCCTTACAACAATCAAAGCAGCTATAAAGGTAAAACATTTAGGCTTTCATTTACAGCATTTCTGAGGCTAGTAAAATTGAGGTATAATATTCAGATACACCAAAGCACTTTTTCCTGACTCTGTGTCACACTTTTTATAATGGAAAAAGATCATACCCCACACTGAGATTGATTTTTGCTTTTTCTTGCTGCTTTTTACTCTGACTCTTCAAATATTTGACAAATAGCTTTCAAGTTAATAATTTTGGTAGCATACAAGCTTACCTTTTATAAGTAGAGGCATGAAAGGAATTATTGGAGGATCCAATTTAGCCACAGTTAGTCTGTAGGCCCTATGGTTTCTTGATGGATCCTTAAGAAAAAAATAATTAGTAATATGTATTATTACGTGTATTAAGACACTGTATGCATTCATTTAGATGCCATGGCATTTATTAAAATCATCATTTTCTCGTGCAGCTTTAAAAGTGCATCTGCAAGCTAAGCCTTTTATCATTTTCCCATTCCATTTACATGCTGAACACAAACATTTTTCATGCCAAACAGCAAGGTAAGAGGTGATTATGAAAAAATTGTTTATAAAAACCGAACATTTTACCTCCTCCACTGCAGCTGCAGAGCCAGTATTGCATATGCTGTAACATTAAATGTATTGCCTGGAAAAATCCAGGTTGTAAAATATAATTTCCCATATGTGCTATCGGAAAACATGCGATAAAGCTTTTCAGAGTTTCTCAGTTTAACTTTGAGTGATACATACGTTCTCTCAGAGTAGGTTCCTAAGAGTATAATTTATTAGTCATACATACTTGTTTTAGCAGCTCTAAAATGGGATCATAAACTTCTTAAAGTCAAACAAGGGCATATAAAATGTTCTGAATCAAGGAATTCAAATCAGTTACTCAGAAACTGAATTAGCTCAGATTGTGCACAGAATAAGGGATCTATTGCTATTCACCATTAAGCTTTCAAATTCTGCATAGATCTTCTTGAACTTGCTTGGAAGTTTCTGTTAATAAAAACAAAAATAGCAAACCTTAATTAAATCCAATCTGTACAGTAATTTTACTGTAAGTGCTAGTTCCTTCTACAACGCCCTAAGTCAGGAAAGTGCTCTTTTTGCCAGATATTTCTAACAATGTGCTAATCTAAAATACAACATGTCTCCTAGCAACCGGATTATAAATAGAGACGGGACCAGCCATGAAACCTGCATCCTGATCTAAATCCCAACTTGAATGTACTCCTATGGGATGTTTAGATTCAGATTTTTGTTTGATTTACATTGCAATCACTGAATTCAGAATGGAAGTGAAAGTTTAGTGAGTGGCTTCAGGACATTCCCCACTATAGTCTATCTCAAAATATAAATTAAGCACAGCTTGTGAAGGGTGGCTCAGCTTCATCATTCATACCTACAAGTAACTGCCCTCACAACATTCAAGTCCATCCTTAGGCAATTCTAGAAGGTTTTCTGGTCATGACAACACATCAGCATTCTCAATGTGCCCAGCAGCCTCTAGTGCTTTCTAGGCTATAAGTTAATGAATAGATTTCAGCCCACAATACCTACACTAGTAAATATGGCCGGCTGGTTGCACAGCAAATAGGATGAAATGGGTGTTAGTAAATATTTTTCCCTCTCATACTATTTTAGACATATTAAATGATATTTTTCTATAAAGACAATAAGATGTGTTATAAATTATTCAGAGATCAGAGTGACTTTTTATGCACATTCAGACAATGTCAGCTTTCTTGTTTTGATAAACTAATATTGGCAGCGAGCAACATTAAGAGACTTACAGTGCGGAGATGATTTTTTTCAATACTTTCTACATTTGGAGTGTGTGCCCTAGCAAGATATTTACAGTGTGCCACAGCAAGGGCCTAATTTTTAATGATGTGTGTGAACAACTGTCTGCCTCGTTTGCATATGCATGCAGATTAGGTATTTGTGAAATAAGTGGTATAATTGGACATTTGCACCTGCAAATATCTAATTTGTGCGTGCAACTAATGTAAATGCATGACAATACAGCAAAAATCAGGTTTTTATACATTTGGTTTTAGCATAATCTGTACACATATAAGGTTTAAACATCAAGCCACAGAGATTCTCCTGGCAAACTGACTGACTGCCCTACACAACCAGTGTGACAACATTTCCTGATCTCAGGTTCACTAACGCTAACAGATGATGTGTGTCTGCTTCATACTGCTGAGGTAACTCCAGGTACCTCTTCTGTCTTCAAACAGGGTCTGTACTGCCTTAGCTCACCCAACTACTCCTTCCTCTACCCACAAATGAAAAGTCATTATTTTGTGAAACTGATCTGCAAATCCTTGATGTCAGCACTGACTGCATATACTACTTTCAACATGTACTACTGCAGATTGAGCTGGTGCCTTCTCAGATGTGTTACTCTGAACTTTTTTCGGTGTTCAAATTCTACTTTCAGTTGCATCATGCCAACTATTTCCATTTCTAATAAAGGAAGTACATGCACATTCAAATCTGCACTGCTTTTGACAACCAGAATGTTCCTACTGGATACACATGCTTACTGTCTCATCCTGCTGGACACTGCCCTTTCTAGATGCTCACAAAGAAAAGAACAAAGCCACAGACACAAGTGGAAGCTCTGAGAGTGAAGATCAAATTGACAGTAATCAAGGGGATATACCAGAGAGAAAAACAGAATCTATATGTTATTAGGGTAACAGAGTCCATATAGAGATCAGAAAATAATATGTGCAGATAGAGGATGGATTTTAGAGAACAACATGTGAGTGATCTCAACAAATGGCTAGTTAAGTCAACGAGGGGTGGGCTGATGTAAGAGGCTGCACTGCTTATCCTGTTGGACAATTTAGTTAATAAAGCTGGTGCTGTCACGCCTGTTAACTGCTTGTGAGCACTGAGCACACCTACAGGTATACTGCCTTATCAGTAAAAATTATCGCCCTAACTTAAAGGCTTCTGCTCAGGACCTGAATTATTAGATCCAGTATTTCCAATAATAAAGGCCTAACATGTTTTTGCTAACTAAAAGCAGAAATTCCAGTCAAACTTTTTGGAACTGGGCTGTAGCTAGGACTTACCTCCCACGTCAGTGAAAGACGGCTCACGGCAACATTACTCAGTCCCATAATAATAGCGAAAAAGGAATTCAGATTTTTGTATTCTTTACAGCTGAAACACAAAGTTTTAAGTTGTAAGCATCAGTGGGAACAGAAGGACACGATACAACCTGAAGGGAGCTGAGCCAGAAACCCAACATAATCTGACAGGAGCCTTGCAGCCCTGACCAGCAACGCACCACTACTCTGCTGTGGGATTAATTCACTTTGAGGCTCCTTTCCTCTCCCTCTTAAAACCACCTTCTGCTCCTACTTCACTGTGTGCCAGCATCTGCAAGGCATTAAAGGAGTCTCTGAAGTTCCTTCCCATCCAGAAGGACAGTTTTGGATCTGGGCTCAATTCAGACCCCAGAAATACCAGTGGAAGCAACTACTTTAGAATCCCATTTGAGAAGAACTTGCTGACAGCTTCCGAAAACAGCTATGAATGCTGGAGGCTGTCCCTACAAGATCTTCCTTGCAGTTTACAAGGGCACTGTGTCTTTTTACAGAGAAGACCAGCTGTCTAGAGATGCCTGTGTGTCAATGATTTCTTGCTGTGTATGGCTTCTAAGTAGTACTTGTATATTCTGGAACTTCATAGGATGCTTCAGGCAAAGAACTACTATTTGCTACCAGCATCATTAATGAGGTCAGGGGCAGTAGGAGCTCTAGGTCAACCTTTATCCCTAATGCAATGGAGAATTGTTGTTACCAGCCAGAAAAGCTGGAAAATGTAACTTATGTAATTATGTATTATGTAATTATGGAAGATTCAGTACACCACACACAGGAGTCGGCACAGCCAAGCTCTGACAGGAGCAGCTCACACAGTTCCTTGACTGTGACTGCACCTCATGGCTCAATGGGGACAGAAGACAGAGAATAAAGTGACACAAATCTGCATCTTGCAAGGTTCCTGCAAATAACTTGCTGTTTTCCGCAACTAATTCCCAAAATCTGATTTCAGAATCTCAGTCTCTGCTTCTTTTGCTGTTTTCCAAGAAAGCTTCCACAAGATTTAAACTACATTTCTCAGATGGTTTGAGAATTTTAATTAACTACTGACACTCTTAGCTCCTCTGAGGCATCCTCAGCTCCACATAAAATTAGTATAATCATCATATGCTACTGTCTGACTCTGTAAATGCCACATGAGCTCTTTCTGTCTCTCTGTTTCACCAGACTTGATGTATTGAAGAGATGAGTCCTTTAGATCTGGGCCTCACTTGCGTCTGCCCTGTGTGAGCATGGACATATGAAAAAATCTCTCCTCACCTGATGGTCTGCCTGTAGGAGACTGCTGCACCGCCAGATCATCTGGCAGAGCTGCTCATACAAATTCTCCCACATTAGGGACAGCCAAGTAAGATAAGCTGAAATGCTAAAGCTACTCCAACTTATTGTGACTAGAGCAGGTTAGGGAGTGCCTTGTTAGTGGATCTGAGGGGAAATATGGATGAAAAGCAACCAGGATAAGTTGTTGGTGATAAGCTCTTCCCTAAGCACAACTAAATCCAGAAAACGAGATCTGTCTGCAGTTTGTGACACTGAGAAGAAATTCCAGTATAGTAAAATTAATTAGTAGCACGCATCAGTAGTGCTCAAATGCAGGCAGCTGCAAATCTGTCTGCAATATATAATTTGAATTTATCTTTCATTTTAAAAAGGAAAAGTTTGCTAAATATCCTTAGTCAATGCCATTTGACTAAGATCCTAGAATCAGTCTAGATTTAAGATTCTGTGTAGCAAATGTTCTGTAAACTCTGCGGGCTCTACACTGCATAGCTTTGTTCCAAATAGAGGAACACTGTAATGAGAAACAGCGCAGTGTGGCATCACTGGCAGCAGTGCATGTGTTCTGCCTGCAAAATGTCAGTAAGTGGATTCTCCAAAGCACCAAGGTGTGTTTGAAGCAGAGGTTCCTCAGCCTCCTAGAAAGGACTATATTGGAAACATCTTTGCATTACTACAAATTGTCAACATGTATATAAACATGCACTCTTGTCTCCAACACAAACCTCTCAGTACTTACATGAGCAGATTTATCTTATTGTCTCTGCACACACACATACTCCTCAAAAATTTCTTAGAGGCTCCTTGCATGTGTAGGGAAAGAATTTTCAAATTTTCAAAAACTAGGTGAAAATGTCTGAGTGTAGTGTTGCACAGGAAAGTTTCTAAATAGCCTGTGGGTGTATCTGCAAAGAGGAAATGCATGCAGTGTCTGTGGCTATCCATAAAAGTTTGTGCAAGTACTTCCTAGAAGGCCTTTCAAATGCAGTTACTGTGGGAAGAACTCACTACAGGAAACACAATTTGCTGCTTCTTATTGTTTCAAAATTTGATCCTACAATGGCTGAAGGGAAAAGATGAACCTGGTAACCTCCACATCCTTTCCCAGCAGATGCAAAGGCAACAACAGCTTCTGGAACTGACAGCACGTGTGCACGGCACTGGGAGCCAGGGCATGGCACCAGGCAATACACAGTACAGGGTGTGCTGGGGGCAGATGTAGAGCAACGTGCCTCCTGCAATGGTATCTGGGCCCCCTGTCACAGAATCAAAACAGGGCTCTCAACAACTGCTATCTTTGAAAATTGGTATATGCAAGGCATCTTGTTACCACCTGCCATGCGAGATGAATTGTGCAGCACTGAACTGCACCAGGCACTTTTCTAATGAGCCTTTTAGTTCCAGGTAGGGTAAAGGTCTCAAGGGTCTTCACAAGCAAAGCTTCCTTACAGATCTTGCCTGGAGGCTAGGCCCCCAGCTGCTGATTCAGTTTCTTGGCTTTCTTTCCCCTCAGACTCGGGTGCAGTGTTTGTTTTAGGCGTGCTATAGCACTTGTTACTACAGCAGCCCTGCGCCGGGGGCAGCAGCCTAGCAGAACTTCCCAGTGCCTTTCCCACCCTGCAATCACTCCTGCCTGCTCCGTCTGTGCTTCGGCAGATCTTGTGCTTTGGCTTTCTCTGCATCCAGGAGACAAAGAGGACTCGGCAGAGCAAGCCACTTTTAGCTATTTATTTTTAGCATTGTAGTGATACCAGAAACATGGAAGTAAACAGGAGGTTGTCAAGCTGTTGTAAATAGCATAGGGCTAAACTCATGACACTGAGGAACCCACTGGCTAGGGCGGCTTATTAAGGAGATATTTAGCTGTATTTTTCAGGTACTTGATTTCAAGTGTTTATGGAAATAACTATTGTATCTCAATTTCCCATATTTCAACATTTCCCCGCTACACGCCTCTGAGCTCAGCAAAGGCCCCAGCTCCCTGTGCTGTGTGCGGCTGCCACTGCCCTCTCCCGGCCATAAGATCATGAAATATGCAGCACGCTTATTTTTAGAAACTAAAGAGGTAAATGCTGTTCACTGTTCTGCACGGAAACCCGATCCTGCATGCACACTACCAGATTTTGAAAGTCTTCAGCTTCGTGGAACCCCCAGCCTCCAGAGGGCCCGAAGCAGCTCCCAGGAAGGAAGCGGCACTAGGGAGCAGGGCCCAGCCCACAGCAGAGCAGGATGCTGAGGCATAGTTCTGATGTGAACACTGATTTCAGCCACGTGGAATCACGAACTGTGAGGACAGAGACATCACAGCTGTAATTTCTTCACACAACTTCACCAGGGAGTGCAACATATGTTAAAATTCACGGTTTACCAGCAAATAAGCACTGCTTTGTTCTGTAACACTGCTTAAAGTCTCTACTCACAACACCCAAAGTCTGAGACAGACGCTAAGAACAGCAGCTCCTCACCGAATGCCTCGCTGAACTTAGTTCAGACAATGAGTGACAGGTGAGAAGTGTAATAAACATACTGTGAAATGCAAAGGAAGAAGGTAACAGTGATCACCATCTCAGCTGTGCGGGGCAGGGGCATGCCCTGCTCCCTCCAAAGCATCCTCCCCTTCAAGTCCTCATTCTGGGCTTCCATGGATGGCAAGGAGCTGAGGCCTAACTCTGTAACACCAAGGCTCAAAAGAGCTGCAGTTCTTATATGAATAAAAGAAGAGAGCAGTAACTGCCTGCTATCTAACCTCAAACTCAGAAGGTGCTAGGAGATAGAGAATATTCATGTTGTTGTGCTTTTAAACAAAAGTATTAGGAAATTGTCACAAGCAGACTGAAGGAAACACGAACCTCATCATCTCAATACCACATCTTCTGTTAAAATTAGTTTTTCCTAATGTGCTTAAGGGTAAATGATGAATTCTCTTAGGGAGCTGAAGTATATATTTACTTACAAACTCGATGTGAAAGCATAGCCCAAAAAGTCCGGAGATTTTCATAAATCAAGGATCAATGAAGAGTAAGACACAAATATGTATTAACAAACTTCTATACCACACTGTAAGGAAACAGAATTACTAAATAAAAACATTTTAACCTCTAAATGTGTGGCTCCTTGGAAACAAAAACAAACAGAAAAAGGACAGTAGCAACAAATTTACTATATTCAGCCTCATTTCCAGCTCATATGTATACTTACTGGGCAGCTATCTTAATATATTTCTTCAGTAGCTGCACACGCTTACTGAGTTGAGAGCAAAGACAAATCTCAGTGACCACCCAGAACTGAATTTCATTAAATCTTCTTAAAAATAAATCCAGATTTGCTGTGGTCTTTTTGAAATTGTGCCTTCCAAAAGTGTGATAGATCAGTTCCAGCTAGGAAAAAGAAAAATGTTTGGCATTAATTTTTTTCTTAGAAATCTTATACTTTGGACAGTGGAAAGAAGGTGAAAACAATAACCAGGTAAGTATCTACTTCCTACACTAGCCTGAAACTTGCTCTGCAGTTTACATTTATCGTTGTACCAATGACAAGAATTTTGGTTTCAATCCAACAGTCAATAGCTGAAGCATACTAAAAGCATAACTATACATTATGCATAAATAACTTAATATCTTGAATAAAATGTACTTAAACAGCATGTGTTTGTGAGAAGTTTTACAGACAAGATGCAAAGATAAAATCAGACAAAGAATGCCTCATGCTTTCAAAACTTGTAGGCAGTATTTTTGAAAATCAAGATCAGAGATTTGCAGGTACTGAACATACCTACTGTACAAAACACCAATTAAACATTTCCTAACAGATTCTAATCTGCTGAATAGATGGATTTTTTTTTACCTCATGCACACAGTTGAAGAGTTCCCAGTCATAAATTGTCATCTGATGTGCGAGGTCTTTGGAGCTCATCAGTTCAAACGTTCCAACAGTACCAGCTGATGGTCCCTCTTGTTCTGGTAACGGTGCCTACAAATAGAAAAAAATATTTTAGAAATGCTAAATTTTGTGATTGGAGCTTTTCTTCCATATTGTTTCTGTTTGTTTGTTTATTTCCAGTGTGACCATTTCCCTGCACCTGCTTCTAATAGGAAAGCTGAAATTTGCTGTTTCGCACAGGCTGGCATTAGGAAAAGAGAAGTTCTATGCAAAAATCAGTATCCACTACGCAAAGGATGCTGAGTGAGATTCTAAAATTACTTCAGAGATACTGTAAGGAAGTAAGAGAGACTGTTGTCAGTATGTTATTCTTAGCATTGTTCTATAATTTGAAGCCAGAAATAATGTGCGTTGTGTTCCTTAAGCATGCTTATTTGTTTAGGAGCATAGGTCTGTTCACAAAGCTTTTCTTATCAATTTCCTCTTGCACATACACAAACAACTGAGTCACAAAGCACAAGCCAGATACTTTTGTAAATTACTGGCCCTATAAATGAGAACTATTACACCCACCATATTTCAGAAATCTGCAGTGATTGCTAGATGTTCTGCTCATTTACATGAGGCATTTAAAACATGCCTCGTACTTTCTCTTTGTCAGTACCGTGATGCAGTATTAACTGATTGCAAAACTCCTCATTATGATAATTAAAATTATAAACACGCAGTCTTATAAGAAAGACTTCTTTATACCATTCAAGTATAAAGTATTTCTGAAAGACAATTCCATACCATCCAATAAAAGAAATGTGATCTACAGTGTTGCACGTAACTAGATCTTACACTGAAGAGATTTAAAACATGGCATGAGATCAAGGCACTTTTGAAGTAACCTGCTGTATATATTAAGGTCAACACACTTGAGCCAGCCCTGGCTAAACACTAACAAACAATCTTCTTGCAAGTTCACATGCATTCTGAAATTTCCATTGGGAAAACATCTGTAAAGCTTCTTGCAAACCCATGTTTTAATTGTTTTGTTTCCAGGAGAGGGCAGTAGAGTTCACTCACAAGTTTCTCTATGTCTCACAAGGTCTTTGTTAGTTAATTGCAGAGCAGGGAATTGTCAACAGGCTCCTTTCTAAGTAGCAACTGAATAGAGTTTGGAAGATTAACAGGCCATATTTACATAATGTAACACTAAAATTGAGTTTATTAAATCAACTGTCTTCTATAAAGGAATATTCTATTACCTATAGAAAAAGGAGCGGCTGGATTAATACATCAACAACACACAGTATTATAGCTTTATTTCTGTTTGAGTTCTTGCTAGGGAAGGCCTGTATATCAAATACCATCATATACAAATTTGACGTTATTTAAATATACATATCATCAAAAATAATTAAACTTACCCACAGACATTATTACCTTTAAATATCCGTCTACAATTTTTTAAATAAAGTATTTAAGTATAATATTATCTTAAAAAAAAATCTCAGGACAGCCATCAGCCTTATAATAGCCCGCAGATTCCTCAGCCTGGGATTTGCACAAACACAAAAGTTTCTTCAGTTGAAGACAGAGTATGAATGAAAAATATAGTTATGTGCAGAAAATCCTATTGTGTGGAAATTTGTGGAAAAAAGACTTAGGGCTTTTTTCCCCTATTTGGAGACAAATACAACATAGCTGTTACCATAACAAACATATTTTCCAAGGCTAGGAAAGAAGTACTTATATGTAAACTCACTGCATACTTGCAAATTTGTCTGACCCAGAACAATATTCACATGGGAACTGTCAAGTGTAGTATGAATAAATGTACCCACATAGGCAGCCGCAAGAAACCAGAACGTAGAAGGATTAAACTGGGAGGGAGTAAGGCCATAAGATTTTTGAAGTTGTTTAGGCCTCTTTGAAAAAATGCAGTTGATAAGGAGATGAATTTTGTTGTGCAGTGCTGAGAGCCTCATACAAGGTGCTGAGTGTTCACCCCCTAGTTCCTATCGAAGCCTGTCCAATTGACAAAAACTAGCACACTGCAGCCCTGTAGCTGCTCAGAGCTCATTGTAGCATTTGGAGCACTCAGACTTGTTTGAGTTGGAAGAGACCTTCAAAGGCAATCTGATCCAACTCTCCTTCAGGGACACCTACAGCTAGACCAAGTTGTTCAGAGCCCTGTTCAGTCTGACCTTGAACGTCTCCAAGGCCAGGGCATCTACCACCTCTCTGGGCAACCTGTGCCAGTGCCTCACCACTCCTATTGAAAAAAATTCCATATGTCCAATCTAAATATCCCCTCCGTTACTTTGAATTCATTGTCCATTGTCCTATCACAACAGACCCTGCTAAAGAGTATGTTCCCTTCTTTCTTACAAATTCCCTTTAGATACTGAAAAGCTGCTCTCAGTTCTCCCCAGAGCCTTTTCTTCTCCAGGCTGAACAGTCCCAGCTCTCTCAGCCTCAGAGGGGACATGTTCCATCCCTTGGATTGTTTTTGTGTCCCTCCTCTGGACCTGCTCCAACAGGTCCACGTCTCCCCTGTACTGAGGACTTCACATCTGGACACAGTACCCCAGGTGAGGTCTCGCCAACACAGAGCAGAGGGGCAAGATCACCTCCCTTGCCCTGCTGGCCACCTTTCTTTTGATGCAGCCCAGATACAGTTGTCCTTCTGGGCTGCAAAGGCATGTTGCTGGCTCATGCCCAGCTTACCATCGACTAGAACCCCAAAGTCCTTTTTGGCAGGGCTGCGCTCTGTCCTTACATTACACCCTCCAGCTTGCACTGATAGTCGGGGTTGCCATGACCCGGTGCAAGACCCTGCACTTGGATTTGTTGAGATTCATGGGGCTCTCCTGGTCTCTCTGCTCAAGTCCATCTAGATCTATCTGAATGGCATCCCATCCCTCTGTTGTGTTGACCGCACTCCACAGCTTGGTGTCATCCACAAACTTACTGAGGGCGCACTCGATCCTACTGTTGATATCATTGATGAAGATGTTAAAGAGCACTGGTCCCATTACTGACCCCTGAGGGACACCACTTGTCACTGATCTCCATCTGGACATTGAGCATTTACTACCACTCTCTGGGTATGATCTAACAACCAGTTCCTCATCCACTGAAAAGTCCATCCATCAAATCCATTTCATTCCAATTTGGAGAGAAGGATATTATGGGAGACCGTGTCAAAGGCCTTCCTGAAGTCCAGATAGATTACATCAGTGTCTCTTCCCTTGGCCACTGACACAGCTACACCATCATAAACAGTGACAAGGTTGGTCAAGCAGGACCTGCCTCTCTTCCATGTGTCTTAGCTTTCTGGAGGATCTGCTACATGATCTTCCCCAGCACTGAGGTAAAGCTAACAGGTTGGCAGTTCTCTGGACATCTTTTCTACCCTTCTTAAAAATGGGTGTAACACTGCCTTTTTTCCAGTGACCAGGGACTTCACCTGATCACCATGACTACGTCAGCCATTTCCCCCAGGACTCTAGGATGCACCTCATCCAGACTCATAGACTTATGGATATTCAGGTTCCTGAGGTGGTCATGAACCTAATCTTCACTTATAGCAGGAGGGGCATCACTCCTCCAGCTCTCACCTTCTGAACAATCTGCTCAAGGGCTGTGTGTAGAGCAGTCACTAGTGAAGACTGAGGCAAAAAAAGCTCTTTGGTACCTCAGCTTTCTCCTAGTTCGTTGTTACTAGCGTGCCTGTACTGCACACTATTGGGGATTGCCTGGATTTTCCTTTTTCAGTTGAGGTACATATTGAATTCTTGATCCAAGGTAGATAGGCAGCAGAGGAGAAAAGGCAAAGAAAACCAAGGCAATTTGCTGCCAAAGGTATGTCTGCACAGACATGCAAAACCATATAAAAGTACTCAATATTGTACTAATGCAACCTCACTTTACAGTAGCATGTCTCAAACAGGTATCTATTTAGCAGGATTAATTAACCTCAAGGGAGCATCAGAATTTAATAAACTGAACAAGACATATCCCTGCATGGAACTACAGTATGCTGTATGTGCATTCCCTGGTTACTAAATTGAACACAGCAGCAAAGCACAAATTTTACCATATCTATAAAAGAAATCAGGCCTACATAGTAAGTGGCTTGTTAAAGGCATACAGGAGGCTGAAACAAGGGTAGGAGTAACAGAGTTCATGCTGACATGACTTGGCAATGACATTTGTTTTTAATGAAATAAAAGGAACAAAAAGTACAGTCAAATCAAACCCTATAAAAGCAGACCCCATGGAGATTGTTAGAATAACTGTATAAACTGTAAGTACTTACAAGCAATTTTACTTAAAAAAAAAAAAGACATGCTAGGAGGAATATATTTTGTGATTCTAGTTAGAATCGGAGATCTTGACACAGTATTTACTGGGGCTCAGATAGAAAAAATTCTAAGGAATTTACTGTCAGAACCAAGTCTTCATAATGCTGCAATTGCCAACATCTGTCTTCTCTAATATATCCTTGTGGCCAGGAGGAGGTAATTTTGTAATCAGGAATTACTGTTTGTCTTAGTGATAATATTCAGCTCTTCCTACATGCTCAGCATGACACAGAGAATACTGGAAACAAGTTCTGTCAGGTGGATCAAGTGGATTTCTGCTCTGGTTTAGGAAATGATGACATGACTCCATTTTCATTTCAGGGCTTGTCCCATAGAACTATTGCAAGTCCTTCATTGTGAGTATCTCCACTAGTTTCTACCTAAAGTATTCATAATACAAAAAATACCAAGCATTCAAATTAACTGAGGAACTGAACTTTCTGAGTACTGCATACATACGTACCAGTGAATCAAACTGGTCACGTGGGCAAGCAAAGAGTCGTCCATTAACAGTGAGAGTTGTAAACACTGAAACATCATGAGGCTTGAGCACGACTTTTTCTGTAAACATGAAACAGAGGACTTCATTAAATATTTGCAGTATTGACAGCAGAACTGACCCAGCTGCAAAAATCAGCATTCTGGGAACAAATTTTACAGTCAACCAATGTATGTCCAGGAAAGAAATAGATGGAAATAAGGTCCCCTTTGTTGAAGAAACATGAGAAGCTCAGCGCCAGCAAGTCTCATTCAGAAGTGGCATCAAGAAACAAAATCTCAGCCTCAATCTGCACAGGCAGTTTAAGAGAAGTCTGCACTGCCATCTCGAGAAACTACTTGCAAAAATCTAGCCATCATTAGAGACTCCTCATTTTTGTCTGAGCTTTAAGCATGTGGAGAGCTGTTCTTGCTAGAAATTTCCCTGGAAGACAACCGCATAAGAAGGTGATGAAATGTAACTGTATTCAAATCTCATTACAGCAGTTCTAAAAGAACATCACATTGCAGGTAAAGAAAAGATAATGAGGTAACTTACAAAAATCTCTGTCAGAGAGAGAGATTTGGCTGTCAGCAAATCTGACAATAAAAAATTGCTGCAACTGCAAAAACAAGAGCTGCCTGGTGTCAGTCCTCAGGAAGTGAATGTTTTTGGCAGGCATCACTGTCTGCAAAAATGCCTTCCGAAACAGCTCTCATTAGCGCTGTGTGTCCTCACAATCATACTCAACCAGAGCACTTCAGCAAGACTAATTCTCCAGCAGAACCCACCCTGAGGTCATTCTCCCATTTCTACAGCCTACAGTAGGGGGCTTATTCCTGACCGTTTGCCAACACCAGGTCAGTGGCTTGGCACCAAGATGCTGAATGGAGGTCAGACTGGCAGGGACCAATACGGCAATGTCAGTACTGCAGCATTTTTTGCTGCTTCTGATTCTTACATCTAAACTGCCATTATCCATGTTTACCTCATATTTCTGCTGCTAAAAAACCTGAAAGTCCTACACTACAGGAAACTTGGGGTAGCTCTATTCAGATACATGCAGATACACAAGCTGCTCATTTTCCCTGTATGCCGTGTGAGCTCCAGTCTGTGCCTGCAGTGCGAAAAGGACTTGCCTCTGACATAGCTTGTACTAGCTGAACGTGCATATGGTAATAAAGCCATGACTGAACTAGCCTTGCTTTTCAATCCCTCCTGACCTTCTCTTTCACTATGAGAAATATTTAACATTATAGAAATACAGTACCTCCTCCTGAACTCATCTTTACAATGATAAGGCCTTCTCCAGAACCCAGCTTATCTGCTACTGCGCTGATCACTTCCTTCACAGACGAAGACACCGGCACGCGGATAGTGGTGTAGGTTTGGTCTATGCAGTACACCTTAAAAAGAACTAGAGAAAAAACATTTCGCTATGTACGCCACATGTAACAACCATAGAGATGTTATTCTGCAAACTAGTTTCACTTCATTAACCACTGCTCACAAATGAAAGAACAAAAGCAAAAAAAAGTCATTACTGTTTTGATAATTCCCCATTCTTCAAATGTTCTACAATTTCTAGCCTAAAAATCTCTGACTTCCCAGAGCTTTTAGTAAAACATGAAGTACTACTATTTTAGTACTGCTATGCTATTTATGGATGCCAGTTTCATCTGGTACTTTATTATGTCCCAGACATTATAATAGTTTAAAAAAAAAAAAAAAACAGTTGCTTTCAGGAGTCAGAAAAACTGGCTGCAAACTCTCTTACTTACAAGAAAATACTTTTCATTTCATGAAATAGGCTTGAAAATAAAGTTCAGGTTACAATCAGAACTAAAACTGTACTGCAGTCATTTTTTTTACAGGCAAGTATGTTGCTGACTCAGGAATACTGTAGAAATGAAGAAAAATTCCCTAAAACTTGAGTGTACAACACACATTGGCTCACACGCTTATACATGAACCTAGGAATCAATACAATAGAACATTAGGCTGAAAAAAGCAAGGCAGCATGCCGTGACATGAATTTAAGACAGAAAAAGTTAGCAAAATACTCCCTCAGCTGAGCTGTCAAGCCAAGCTAAGCAGTCTCAGGGGTTATGGTTGTCTACATATTTTCAAGGCTCAGTTTGCTGCCAGCTCTACGAATGAGAAAGATACAGTCATATGAAAGCAGCAGTTAATTTTTGTCCACACAGACAGGAGAAGTAGTACAGTCAGGGCTGTAGCAATTGTTTTGCTCTTTGTAGACATAGAAGAAACACTGAGATGAACAACAGGAACTGGATGCATGGCAGGATTTTTTCTGCTCAAATATAGTTACCTCCTGCTTTTGAAATGCCACTGGCTTTCTCAGATAAATGAGTTTGCGTTTTGTTCCCTTATTTTTACCATTGTGCAGTAGCAAGAGCTATCCCTTAAGTTCAAACGTTCTGAAGCAGAAGGTATTTTTTGTGATGAAGATGCACCAGAACCACTGAGGGACTGGCCCAGGCTGTTGCAAAGAAATCCCCAGATATATTAGTTTTAAAGAATGTATATTTTGGTTTACACTGGACAGATCTCAGGATGTTGTTATATAGAAGTGCTTTTTCCTGCCTAAAGTGAATGACAACATGAAAAGCCAGAACAACTAAAAATGATAGTCTAACACACTGCTGTAAATTTTACCTTGATCTCTCCACAGAGTCAAACAATACCAATAGGGTAAAAGAGCAGATTCTGTTTTCTAGGCTGTGTGCCACACGGCAGAGCTCCAGGGAATGATTATCTGCTCCACTCACATCTCACAAAGGAGCATTTCTGGTGAAACAGCCATACATATTAGCTCAAACTATACAGAAGAGAAAGGGACTCAAACATGACCTTCAGCACCAAGTATTTATTGCACTGACACTATCTGCATGGACACTGTCTGTACTGGTTCTTGCCTGTTTTGTCCATTCCCTTTTTTAAAGGTTGCTACATTCTTCCTCTGAGGAAGCACAGTGCTTTATAGCACACAGATGGGAAAAGATGAGGAGTATTTCAAGGCAGTGATGGAGAATGTTGGTTCAGAAAATGCAAAGTTTGCTTCAGGCCAGGCTTCTGAACTGTTAGTACTTTTGTTTATTTTTAGACCCTTTGCTTTCAGAGAGACAACTTCACTGCAAATCCCAGTGGCTCAAGAAAACTCTTCAGAGAAGGAACTCACCTTCATCGCTGCCCCTGATAGGTTGGCGTTTCTGTGCTCTGTCATCGCTTGTATTGAACAGCTGCAGAAGAACTTTGTGCTGAAAATTAATCACCAGGATTCACATTATGGCAAGAATAAACATTAGGGTATAGATCTGAATTTAAAAAGGATCAATGGCAGGCAAAAGGGTAGCAATGCAAAATTTGACACAAAGTTAAAAGTTATATCTGAATGTCTTGTTTTAATAAATCCCAAATGACTAAAGAGAAGATGCTTACAAGGTTGCCATCCTAAAGCTTTTATTTAGGAAACAGAAATAAATTATCTTACCTTCTTTTGTGGTGCCTTAGGCTCCTCAGTTCTATAAAATTTAAAACACAGCACATATCATTAGATATTGCCTAAAAGATTTTGTGCACAAAGCAACCTAAAGAGCACAGACCACTTGTCAAACTACAGTATCAACACCTTCTTGTTTGTATTTAGGAAAAGAAGACTAGGTGATACTACAGGTAAGCTATATCACAACAAAGGTACAGAAAATGCTACACAAAGTTCATGCAAGCACACAGTATAGTTTCAGTGGTGTATACATAATTTCTTATTCCTTCTGTCAACCCTTCTATGAGGCAGTTCAGTGTATGCAAGAATTACATGGAAAGACAGGGTCATAGGCATTCATCCAAACAAGTCTGCATGAAACCATTCAGTCTGCAGTAACTGAGTGCCATTCACAAAACACACTTTTAAAAGATATAAGAAATAATTTTCTTCATCTATTTACTGGGAAAAAGAGCTAAGAACAAGAAAGAAGGAAGCATAATTTTTGCTTACACTTGCTTTACAATTTTCTCTAGCTCTGGAAGTTGCTCCTTTAGTGCTGCAATCATTCTAGTATCATCTGACACAGACACATAAAATTCCTGTAAATGACATAGAATACTCTTTAAATAACTATAGGGGTAAATGAGCAGTACTAAGGATAGAGGCTTATGAGATGACATCTGATAGTTTAATGATTATAAAGAATGCTAATCTACATGGATGAACACATGCTGGGCTCAACCCTCTATTACTTCTACTTGTTTATCTCCAGCTGATTTAAAGCAAGAGTTACACATGCAGAAGGGAAGTCTGATGAGAGGTGGAAGACATAAGTGTTTACTTATACTACTGTGCAACCACTGACTGCTTGTGCAAATACTGCATTTTCAGATTATCAGGGAGAAAAGCAAGAGGGTTCACAATTAATGTGGCACAACAACTGGTGTTGGGTTGGTTTTTTTGTTTGTTTTGTTTTGTTTTTTGTAGGCTAGTGATTTTGTTTAAAAACCATTCTTCCCTTATCACTATTATTGATAGTAAAAACAGTTTCTTTTCTTTGTGTTAAAAACCAAAACATAAAATCACCCAACAGTCTTGACCATGCTTACTAGCATAAGCTCATCTCCCATCTAATCTTCAATTTCTATTGAAGTACTATTTTCAGTCATAGCTTTTAATTCCTCTCTTCCAGCACTATCTTGGATTCTAGCTTCTATACTTTGTATTCCACTTTTTTTTTCTGAGGTGCTCAGTGATCTCTTCTTAGACAAAACTTGGAACCACTGTACCACACACATTCTCCATGATATGGAGCACTTGAAACCTTTTTCTACTTAAAGTCTTTTCTGCAGTGGACCTCTATGACCTTGTCTTCCCTTTACTGTCTTCCTGCTTTTGATTCAGAGAATTTAATTCAGAGAATTATTTTCATTCAGATCCATATTTTGGGAAGACTTATCTCCACCCATATTTTACTTCTCCTTTTCTTGAAGACTGTCGTTGATTAATTGCTCTTCTGTGCTAATTAAACTATCATCCTCATGATGGCAACCAATAATCTGCCTTTGTGCTCCAGATCTGTTTTAGTTGGTTTAGTTCAATATAAACCTGTAGAAGAATTTAAACATTAAACAAAGCTCACCGTAGCTTAGACAATGCCCACCAAAAAAAGCAACTTAATGTATTCTTATTCAACAGTGTACCTGTGCAGAACTTTGAATGGGATGTGCAACTCAAGCAGATAATTTCAGAGATCCAGAGCCTGAAAATGGCTCAAACACTGCTGTTCTGTGTATACTGACTGCAGTTAAAACCAATTAAACATAGTTATGAGTTTACACTCTGAAGTGATCCATTTCTCTTTACTTTGTACCACAGTTGAACATGTTCTGAACAGGCTTTCAACTTATCTTGCTAGGTAGATACTTTCCAGTACACCTCCTACCTCCAAAAAGGCCATTGCTGCTTCATCCTCTTGTAGCAAATCTCCATATAAAGCAGCCCACTGAAGAACCAGTCGAATGACTCGCCTTTTATTGTTGAGAGAATAATCCATTTTCTCTTGCTCTGTACCCTGGGAAGGCTGGGCATGATAAGTGCCACGGTGTCAAGGAAAATGATCAGTGATTGAAAGTATCAGAACCAGTATGATTTTACAAACAAGTGACTTCCAAGAACCCATTTTCAGGGTGTTCAAATGTAACTTTCCACTCTATACTTTTGATTTTTGACTGTTGCTAGCATAAAGATTTGTGAAATTTTAATACTCATACTAAAAAGTAAAAAGACAGTGAGGTCACTAAAGAAAGCAGAAATGAACAATGATTTTAAAATATTATTTAGAAACTGTGAATATTAATTAGAAATAAAAATGATCTAAGACATATATTTTAAGCTTCTTATTTATAATTATAACAAGATTTCTGCTGTTTTTCTCTAACAAATGTTAACATACATTGACTAATAAAATGCTATGGGAAAAAGTATCTATTAACTCACACTTTCCAAATGATCTTCCAGCCCCAAATCCCTGCAGAGATTTGACATGATACAGGGGTTACTGGGGCACTCACTTGACTGACAAACTTTCAGACATTTGCATTTTAATTTCATTCAGAAGGGCTTCAAATGACTAGGGAACTAAACATGTCAGTGTATTTATGGGAGTAAATAAGCTGAAGGGTCATAAGTAAATAATATATTGTAAGCTATGTGCTCTAATGTCTCAGGGAGCAAGTTTAATATTCCACTGAGTCATTTCTCTCATGCCATTTTTACTTTTCAAACACTGCAATTATTTCATGTATTTTTACTTTTTTATTAACTGACTCACCACAGGCACTGGTAACTTTTCTGTATTTTTACTGCTCATTTATATTAATTGCTCTTTTATTAACATTATCACAGGGAAAGTCAGTGAAGGGTTTTCCCATTTTTATGGGACCTACAGGACACAGATTCAATGCAGATTATAATCAGAAGTAAAATATCACGTATTTTTGCAGTGTCAGATAATTGTAAAATATTTATCAACACCAACATATTTTTATACACATATACCTAATTCTGTCTAACACATACTAGGAAATTGAATCAATTTTCAAATCTGTTCCTCTCAGTGTGGGAACATTTAGCTAGACTGGAAGCTCTGTAAAATCAGCACCAGTTACTACAGTGAACGCAAGCTATTTTGCTGGCATGGTGGTAAAGGAAATTCACTAAACTTTCATAAGGAAACATGCTAAAGGACTATTGCCTACAAAGAGTAAAAGAGTATTTGAAAGTATTTAGACAATGGCCATTAAAAGATGAAAACTTACACAGGTGCTCACAGGCTTGTACTACCCCAAGAGCACTAGCCTAAATGTACTTTTGGAAGTGTTACTCTATATCAAGTTTTATTTTGAGACTTATACTCCTTCCTTCTGACAAGCTGTAGCTCTGACAATTTTCCATTTCCTTTTCTGTGAAGTAGAGAGGGAAGGAGTCTTGATCTAACAGACAGGATGCAGGCTTATTACATGATCCAGGACCAAAGGAGCATTTTCTTTGCTTCCCAATTAAAAAAAGAAGTATGTGATTCTTTAATATTGAAGCATCTATATACATTAGTGATTAAAAATGAGCTGTACCAAGGGGCAACACAGCACAGACACTGAGTTATGAGCAACCTATATTGCTAATTAAACAAAATGGTGCACCCATTCATTCCTTTCAGTCTTGAAGAACATACAGATGACCAAACACTGCTGAAAAGGAAGAAAAAAAGCCCAAAATGTATACCTTGCACTATGCTTGAAAGCACTACAGTGCTTTAGCTCCACTCATACCTGCATGCTGCCAGCTAAAATAGTAGCCAACGTGGGTGTCAGAAAATAGTCTTTCATTGATTCAAAATTGGGAGTTGTAGCAAAAACAGTGTCTCTGACTGAATCACTTTTCTTATTTCTCTTTTACTATTTTAATTTCCTCACTGAGCATAACTAACCTCTCTTTAGTCTCACAGTGCCAGAAAACATTTTTGTACCGTGATTTTGCTTAAAAAAGATGAGCTTTGTTAGCAACCTTTCAACTCTAACAATAAATTTCAATGGCACAATCAACAGAGCACAGTTTGATTTTCCATATTCAGAATGGACCAAAATAAACAATAATTCAGCACTAGGAAAAGCTGACACTAAAGCAGTGGGACACTAGCTACTTTCAGCCCTTCTCTTCCTCCTACCTGAAAAGGAATTAGCATGATGCCTGCCATGACCCACTAAATAGCATACTGGTCTTAGCTCCTCTGGAATAGATTTCATAATAAGTGAATGCCTATCTTCAGAAAAGCCTTTCCCCTATAAACAGTGAGGTGCATTTTCTTATGCATCTTATTTTCCTAGTTACTGGAAAATAGTGGTATGCTATTATAATGAAGGACAGACAAGCCTGAGTCCCAAACGGACTGACTGGCTAACAGACAACCTAGACAAATCTGAAAAAAAAAAAATTAAAAAAAAAATCTAAACTGCTGTCCTTTTCTTTTACCTCTTCTTAAAGCTGTCAGCAACAGCATTTCATAATATTTTTGCTATCTAAAACTATGGAGTTTTGGAAAATGTGTTTGTTGCAGGTGTATGAACAATTTCTATAGACCAGTTTTGTAGGTCCAAAGGTGTTCAAAGCAATTACTGTCCTTGCTAGTAGTAACACAAATGAATTCTCTAGCTTGCCAGACAAGGACACGATGCTCTATTTTGTGGTTTCAGGATGTTAGCTTTCCCACATGTCACTTGCCCTACTGAGCTTCAAAAAGTGCATACTTTCACAGCAATCTAATTCAAAAAAAACCAACCAAACAAACAAACAAAAAAAACCAGCAAATTGAAGTTATACCTCTTGTCAAAAATCTATAAAACAGAAAACATTTTATGTTTATTTAATGCTCGCCATCACTTGATTTCTTCAAGTCATGACACACAAGGAAAACTTCTCAGTCTCCAGCAGCTCTCTGAATGACATGACTTGCTCATCGATGGAAATTTTACAGATGCGTTCTACATAAGACACAGGTAGTATGAGAATGACTTTCAACTCCTGATGCTATATAACTGTGTTTTCTACTAAGTATTCACATTCAATTCAGATTTTTTGTAGTTTGTTAAAGCTTCCTATAAACTACTATATATTATTGTTCATAACCATATTATGACAGTGCCTAGGAACCACTTACTCACTGCTCTAATAGTTCAGGCACTCTTTTGCTTGAGACAGTTTGTGACTTGTAACCTATAAAGTGGGCCAGAAAATCACTAAAACATAGTAATCTTAGTTTAAATCTTAGTGTGGTGGTTTTGCAAAAATCAAGAAAAGCAGAAAGAGAAACCTGGCCTTGAACAGCTATCCGGTGAAGGGAAAGTAGGTTTCTTTTCCTTGCTATAACAATAATCCCAGAAAAGATACGATCACCATGCTCCAGGCCTGCATCTCATCATGGCTGTATGCTACCCATTTCACTTGTTGAACTATAAGACAAGCTGTCAGTCAGACACTGAGAACCTACCAACAAGGCAACAAGGCACAGTCTCCATGAAATGCAATTTAATTTTTGAGAGAGAAAAGCTTATGATCTATCAATGGTATGGAAAGCTGTAAAAGGAAAATAACTTATCTGTTACAAAAGGATATTGTGCCATCAAGGCTGGGCAGAGCTGACTATTTGGCATAAAAACACAGTGCATCATAATAAAATCATTTAAAACAGAATCTGTGAAAAGAAAAGAAAGAAAACAGCAAATTGAGCATTTTGGGGAACACAAGGATGAGGCTTCTCTAAGTGAAAAAATCTTATTACTCCTTGGTAGATAATAAAGGTGTCATTTTACATTTTGTAGACATTAAGTATGAAAATATAAATGAATCAATATGTGCTGAAATATTAACCTTTTACTCGTCTGTTTGGATTTAATCGCATTTATGTTAAGAGGTTTTTGCATGTGTCAAAAGAAAGTCAGCACAACATAAAGAAAACAAACTAGAGTAGTCTGGACAAAAATGAAATGTTTGGGTATACTCCTCCTCAAAAGTGTAGAGATCTAGAGGAACCACTTATACAGTGCAACTTTTCAGGTAAAAGAAAGACTTCAAAATGCTGTAAGCTAGTGATGTCAGAGAAAATATGGTGAGATAACTGGAGCCTGACATTGCACCATTGCCTCACTGTAATTCATATTTGAAAATCTTTCAGTTGACAAAGCACCTCCAGAATGGTAGGACTTTTTCTTACATAATATGCAGGACAATGTGAATTTTAACTGTTCTTAAATTACGGGACTGCAAAAATCAAAACTGAGATTTTCTAGCTGTCTGAACTCCTATAACCTAAAAACAGCCGGGCTTGTGAAACGTGACATTTTTGTCCCATGGGGATGTGTGTATAATCTTGTCACTGGATTATAAGAGTCAAAGTTTGAAAGGATTTGAAAAACAATTTAGTTTAGAAAAACATATAAACGTATAAAAAAGAGGCAGTATGAACAGTGAAGTTGCTATTATATACTTTCGGGCTTAAAGAGGAACATTCTGCCTGTAATCCTAATAATTAGGTATCTATGAGAAGTATCATTTTTATTCTTAAAAGTGATTAAAACATACAGTATAGAAGGATTTCTGTAATCTTTCAATTCTTCCACTACTTATGGCCCACTACACACGTTTCTCCAGTACTCTGAGGTCAGTAACAGACTAGCTGAGGATTAACAGCTTTGAATATTTACTTTTTAGACATCCGCAATGTCAAAAAACTTGCTAAAGCAATATCCTGTAGATTAACATAAAAGTCTCTGCATCACTTTATCATAATAAGGATTATTTTTGTGCCTGAATCTCCTTTTTCTCTCCTAAATTAGACTACTTACTGATAGTAAAGCAGTGAATATTTCTATCCTTAGATGTTAATTTGCTATTCTCTTTACAGTAATGAAAAGCATCCTAGTAAGTGCAGCTGCAGCAACCTGCATTCTTGGGACTCAGCCCATGGTGTGCTGAGTTCTTCTCCTTTACGTAAAAATTCTTCTTTCCCTGCACATGGGAAAGTATCACAAAGAAGCAATTTAAAAGTAATGTGATAAGGATACAAAAATGTGAGTAAGCTTATCCTCGTATGCAGCAAAATGGCTGGAGGGATCAAGCTAGTTCACAGTATCAGATGACAACCAAAATAATAAGTTTGAGCACCATTATCTTCCGGTGGTAATGCATGCTCTTTTCTGGCATTATAGCTGTGCTTATTTAAAGTTCTGACTAGTGGTCTGGCATCTTTTGAGATTCTGCAGTTCTGCTCAGAACTGAAAGTGTAAATACAATAGAGCAGAAAGAGTGGATTGTTGTCTTTAATCCTGGATTTCCTATATTTTCTTGAGGTTGTTTCATTGCATAGTTCTTATTCTGGGAAAAACTTCTACTAGCTGCTTTTCAAAACACTACATTACAGCACACTGCCAGCAAGACTTTATGCAGTAATAACAATACAGTTTTTGTCACACACCTGTTGCTTCATTTAAAGTTGCTTCAAGGCGCATAGTTTCTAGAAAGTGCTCTAAAATTTTCTCTGGAGTTCCTGACATCACAATATATCTGAGAGAGGGAAAAGAGCAGTTAGTGTCTCATAGGCAAAACAACAAATCAAGAAACATTTGCATGCTAAGCGAGAAAATAAAGAGTGCTAAGTGCAAAAACCTGCTCTGACCAGAATTTGAGTGTCTTAGGATGAGACCACACACAGTCTTTGTTGCCCTCTGTGTAATGCATGCAATAATGCTCTTTACCCTTCCCAGGGAGCGCGAGATGACAGACAGCCCCCTTCCTGCACAAGTACTCTGCTATAACATCACCACAGTTACGCTGCAATCAACAGAACTGCACTGGTGCAAACCCAGGGAAGTGCAATCAGAAATGCTTCTCCACAGAGAACGAATATCTCAGTAATGACAGCAATTCGTAGTCATTAGAGGGTCTTAACAGACTTACTAAGGGCATGAAATGAGAACTGGTTTGTATCACTGTCAGAGCAAGCAAACAATTTTCTCCAGTATCATTGATAGGGTCTGGTATGAGAAGATGGGAGCAGATAATGAAATACCATGCAGAACCTTCAGATTTGCGTAACACCTTAGATAGTTGAGGAAAGTAAGTTTTTGCAAGAGGATAAACTTCTTATTGTACCATTTCCAGGACTAAAATGAAGGAGGTGATTAGAATAGTGCAGTAGTTAGGTTACCCTGTCCAATGCAGGAATACAGGCAACATTTTAAGAACCAGCAGAATGTCACAGGATATTGCCACACTTGTCCTGCCATCTTTTTTCTTTTTTGACTCTCCTTGCAGATCAGATTTTTTTTTTTTAAATCTTTCCCTCCTCTCTTCCAATCTTTGCATCTCTTTTTTTTTCTTTTTCTTTTTCTTTTTTTTTTTTTTTTTTTTTTTTTTTTTGGAATCCAAATGATAAAGTATGAAACTTTAAAAAAAATGAAAGAAAGAAAGATAGAAAAAACCCTGAGAAGTGAAGATACTCTGCTCCTGCTGAGAAATAAGTGGTGGAGCTGAGCTCCTGGGAGCTCCTCCTCACTTTGAGCGCTGACCGTCACAGTTCTTTTACCTGCCAACCCCTTTGGAAGAACTGTATTGATGTCCCAAGAACACAAACACTTGTTAAGCCAGTGCACATTCTCACAGAGATACTAACCAAGTATCTAAGTGAGTGAAGCAGAGAAATCACAGGTTGCTGTACTCTGAATATGAAAGCGAAAATGAACAGTGAAGTGACTTGCAGGGCTGCTGGATTTATCCTGCATGAGTGTGATCACCCATAAAGAGAGAAGTTAGATCTTGGGAGTGAGAACTTCAGAGCTTTGAAGCAAAATTGTCACTGTATGAAACCATGGCTCCGGGAGCTACATCTCCTCAGGAGAGGAGGCAGTAGAATCCAACTACACTCAGAGGATTTGCTCACAAAATGAAGTTTTCACCAAGATTAAGATGGAGAAAATGAGTTTCTTGTTTGACTGAATGTGTTGGGGAACAGTTCTGGATTGCAGAACACTTCTCCAGTCCAAATGCTATGTACCAGTTTAGTGAACAAAGCCCAAAGGGCAGTTCATCTTTAGAGACACCATCAGAGATGTGAACTATCTGCTTAAAGGCAAAACTGCAAGCCTTTAAGAAGCTTCTCTTTGAGGCCCAGTGATTTTCCAAAGTACTGAGCACTCAACAGACACACTCCAGTAACACATTCTAGAAATCCAAATACAGCAGTAACTTTGATTTGGACTCTCAAGCATAAGAGTAGCCATTTACTCTACCTATTAAGAAAAAAAGGAAAAATCTTCAAGTCCACTTAACACACTTTGAAAGATTTTAAACAAAAAGATGTTGTGCACGGTTAACAAACTGCTGAAAAGCAGCCAGTGAACTTTAAAAGTAACTTCCTCTCTTGTGTTGCTTGTCCATTCTCATCGTTATCAGCTAAAGTTCCCTCACTGGCACACTGATGGGACCCAAATGCTGAGCAAGTGCATAAAATATTTATAGAATTCTTCTTACTTACCTGCAAATACTCCTGAAAAATAAGTTGTAAAATAACTTGGCACCATAGCTGTCCCCAGCTATTTTTATCAAATGCTGAACAAGAAAATGTTAAGTAATAGAAGTAATGCTGGTGCAAAGAAAGTTCCATTTAAAATATGTTTAAATAAAATTGTCACTTTTGAAAGTATTAAAAAAATGTATTTGATCAAAGGATTCAAATTTATGATCAAGTTACTGTGCACATCAGCTGCAGAATCCATTGACTGCAGCCAAGTCTCCCTAGTTTAGACAGAGGAAAAATTAGCCCTAAAAGTATGTAATTTCTTTGATCTTTTTTCTAATATATCAAGTGAAAAATGAAATGGTAGTTTCTGAAATACGTGAAAGGTGTGAAATATAAAGAATGGTTTATTTAACTGTTTAAAAGTCTTTACAGAACTTTATACTCAATTTTGCACATAAAATACTTATGTGAAATCCCAGATCAGATAAAATCTATATCCAAAACATCGCCCAGTCCTTTCTTTTATTTTATTTTATTTTTTTTTGGAAAAAAAAGTAAAGGATTCAAATTTCTTTTCTAAAGACAATGATTATGTGACAGGAAATTGACCATCCACTTGTAAATAAGGCATTTACAAAGCCTTTGGGGGTTTAACCAATATTTGGAATCATAATAGCCTCAGTCCATTCTTATCACAGTAGCATCCAAACACAAACGTACTTTTCCCCTTTCAGTAAGAAAGTAAAGAAACTATAAGGAGTATTGTTATTACAGCGGAAACCTATTCTGTAAGATAAGCTGTGCGATTTTCATTGCATGAAATCATCATTTGTTTATAAACAGTATTTATAAAACACTTCTTATAATCCAGAATTTAAAATCCAGAATGAAAATATCTGCACTTAACAATAAAACAATGTATTTTCTCATGTCTTTTACACAACAGCTCTGGTTAATAGGGTTTCAGCATTCTCCATGTGCAGTCTATTTAAAAGCTATTATATGAGATAAGTATTTACAGTGAGATCCTTACAGAATTATTGTGTAAAGTCATAGAATTGGTGTGCGGCTGGAAATGGATGTATTATGCGCTGTGGGACAAGTGATCGGCTTATGATTAAAAAAATAAAAGAAAATTTTATATATTCTGCACTCTTCCACAGATAGGGAGAATATGCTATTGTTTGGTTAATAATACAGAAGAAAAAGTGAATCATTGCCTGAAATAGTGAATGGTAACATACTTGTGCTGAGGCTGTGAACTTCCTTGATTAGAAACTCTGTTTCCTGCTGGGATCTTCTCCAACACCAAGACATCCTGGTCATGTTCTTTGAGCCTTACAGTATTTGCTTCCACATCCTGCAAGACAAGTTAATATTAAAAAAGCAATTGCACCGATTTGGCTGATCAGGTACTCTGAAAAAGTGCACGACTCAAACACAATAATATATCATTTTTCTAGCACAGTACTCTGTCTGGGCTGATTTAATTGCTGAATTACTAAGCATGCTTTAATTCCAATACAGGATGATACCGTATTTTACTTTCTATACAACGAATGATCATAAAACATCTTGTATTTGGTTGCAGGTTTTAGTTATAGAATTACAGCTGAATTTTGGAATATATTTGCTCTGACTTTAATAACTGTAAAATTAAGCTGGGAATATCTTTTTAAAGACCTATTGTAAAAACATCTGTACATCTACCTGTAAGTTACTACATTTACCACTTGATTCTGCCTTGAACCTACAGAGTCTAAGGCACATGCCACTGACCTATCTGGGATATAAGATCTTGTTTTATTCACTATTTGGATGGGAGATCGCTTTGGAATCAAGGACAAACTGAGCACTAAGCAAATTCTAGAATACAGGCATGTGAAAGACACAGAGTCCAATTGCTTCTGTTTTCATGGCTGGTAGGAACCAAAAAGCAGGAAAAATTATTATTCTTTACTTGATCTTCTAGATTGTCTCATCTCTGTTCTGTAATTAAAGAACACTTCAAACATGGTTGTTGATATGAATATATCCATGCAAATAAGATAAAAGCGAGAAAGATCTACAAGTTCTGACATCACACTGCCAGAGCAGACCTTCCCACACCCACCCTAAGGATTCTGTTGAAGTCCTCTTTGTCTACTCTCAAGAAGTGGCAGTTGTCTTCACGTAGAACGATAGATGCTGCTCTGGGAGCATCATTCACAAGTGCTAGCTTGCCAAAATCATCTCCTTCATGTAGAGTACATACCACACCCTGCACAGAGCAAAACATTTATATGCAGAAACCCATCATTACTGTGGATTCTATTGAAAAACCTTATACAAACACCGGACTTCACAATCAAATACCAAAACAAATGTATTTGGCAGGAAATCAACAGCCAAAATAATGACTAGGAAACAATACTTGATAACTGGTTATTACTATTACTAAAGAAAGACAAGAATAGAAAAGAATTGGCTTGTTCTCTGAAATTACATTCAGCATGAAGGACTCTTCTGCTCTTCTCAAGACAGAAAGATGTTCTTTGCTTTGTTTAAGGAGGCACTGAAAAAGCAAATCAAATTTACAGCACATAATATCATATCTTCAGATAGTGCAAAGCCATTTACTTGAATTTACAGTAATGGACGATCTGGCTCGCCCTCTGTGAAATCCACTAGTCCTTGTGCAAAATTTTGGTGAAACGCTTGGTGCAGACTCTCATTCACAGAATGAGAAATCAGTAGAGAAACAGGGATTGTTAAAGACTCAAGAGATTGCTGAGTACCTAAGTCCTTGATAAAACACTCATAAACAGGAAGTTCAGTAGACATGCTTTTCAGACTGAAACTTAATCAAAATGAAGAGGTGACATAAATTTGGCAGGGTCACATTCAGCTTGAGAACCTCTAGCCACAGAGGAGCTCTTGTCAGACATACCTGACATCTGTGATAAGAGTCAGTGGTACAAATGTAAGAGAAGATGGTGGTAAAAGTTACAGGACAAAAACCTCTATGAGATGCAAATCTGCTAATTCCCCAAATTCCAGCAAATTACACTGTTCTAAAGATACTGATGTGACTGTGTTGAATTATACTCAGAATGTGTGTAATATATACCAAAATCATATAGCAATCAACTGGAAGCATAACCAATGAAACCACTGGATCATTTCTTCACAAAACTACATTTGATTTGTTTCATCAGGTAAATAATTCTACTCTAAATTAAAGTGTGTTCCTTCATAGTTTATTACAATTTCAATAATAAGAATTATATAAAAAAGAATTCTGAAAGAAGTACCTTGCCATAAATGACTACGTTTACTGATCCCTTTAGGATAATGTACCAAGAAGTACCTTCTTCTCCCTGATTAAATACTACAAAAGAGAGAAAAGTTTTACGGTGAAAATATAGTTAGTCAAAACACAAATGGGCCAGATTCTGCATTCAATAAAATTCAAGGTAATTATTGCAGTCATACTCATGATTACCTTGAAAAAGGTCATATTGTGATTTTAAAAGCTACTGCCTTCAGATTTTATGGAAAAAAAACCACACCCATACAGTAATTATTTTATTGCACGTGAAAATGACTTGTATTTTGTATGACAATTGCAACAACTACTCTACCATAATATATGAGACTGTCAATTTCTAGTCAACACACAGACTTGGATCCCACTAGAAGCACAGTGTTCTAACCCAATTGTCTAGCAGCTATTTATACTAAAAATATACTATGCTATTTATACTAAAAATACTAAAAATATTTATAATATTTATACTAAATTTATACTAAAAATAAATAGCATAGATTTTAAGTCCTTTATTTTGGGCCGTAAGATGGCTTCTTAATACAAAGAAAATATTAAATTACATTTTAAATAAAGATTGGACCAAACCAAAATTCCAGATACAAACTCATCCAAAATCATAGGTGTTGTATACATCCAACCTGAATATAGACTTAATTTTGCTACTACCCCTGCAATGGGTAGCAGACTAAATTAGCACCTAATACCCAGGTTTTGAAACATCGACTGCCAGTCAAGTTTGAGGAATGCATGTAAGTTTATTCTCTTGTCATTTAAACATTAAGAGTGCAAACACTTGTGCCACAGATAAGAAAGATGATCTGACAGGACTCTTTACTTACAGACTGTTCCAGCTTTGGGATGCGACTCAAAAATGAGGACACCTGCTAATTCTCGCTTTACCTTGAAATAGAGAGAAATTATAGCTTTCAGTTGTATTTTATTCTTCCATGTTATATATATAGTACAACCCAACCACTCTTCCTCTTTTCTCTGTGCCGTTCAGCACTCATACAGTCATGCAGTCAGATGATGGCCTGCTTCTCTCAGGCTCCAGTTCCAAACTGATGGGCTTCATTTCACAAGCCCTGTGTTTACCCCCTGTAAATGACTCAGGAAAGGGCACCCTTTAGATAGTTATCCACATCTTTCTTCATATAAATACAAATGAAACCATATTAACAATTAATATGATGGAAAAATATAACCACTAATAGCTAATCTATTAAAGAAGATTGCTAGCAATTGCCAGTTACTCCATGGGGCTCTGTGGTACACCTGTTCTTCCCTGAGAAATCAATATCTTCCCCCTACAGATTTAATTTGGCCACTTCTGCTGTGTCAAGCTGTGAGGCACAGCCATCCGGGACGTGCTGAGATCCCTCTTGACCCAAACAGACAAAATGTCCAGTTCACCACCTCCTCCAAGAACTGCAGAACGTGACACTGCACTTGACATCCACCTGTTCTTCTTTGGGTTTTTATTGCTCTGGTGTGATTGACTCTGATTAACAGAGAAGTTATTTCTAGTGAGAAAGCTGCTGTTTAAAACTGCTTTTTCTCATTGTAAACACTGTTGGCATTATTTTCACAAAGTAACAGCAGCACTGCAAAGCTCACATTATCCTGAGTGTTTCTGTGTGCTTAATCTCTCTCCCCACATAACCACAAGTCTCCACTGACTTTGAGGCCAATTACCAGGCAGAAGAATTCTTATTTTCAGAGAATATCAGCTGGTGTTAGGCTGTTTCAGAGGGACTACTAGGTAATTTCAAAGTGCCAAATACAAATCAAAAGCTGGCTCCAACATCTACTTAAGTAGCAGTGTTTTCACACCATTCTCCCATACATTTAATCTGAGAACAGTTGTATTTCAAGATGGATAATCTTTAGGCCATTAAGTAAAGTTTGGGCAGAAACCCTCAAATTCTGAACACAATGCACATAACTAGATGGTGGCTGTATCTCTCAGGGTCTGATATCCTAACAGCATGCACCAAACTCTTGCTTGGGTGCTAAGCAAAAACATTCCACACCAGCTATTTCTCCCAGAGCTCCTTCCTGATAGACTGTGCAGAGCACTCCTTGTTTGCACTATGTGTAAGAAGAGGGATAGAGAGAGTTTGGACATTCCCTATTAGAGCACTGACAAATGAACACAGCTGCAGGCCTGTTATTTCTAAAACAATTAAGCCAACAACTCTCCTATATCCTGTGCCCGAAGGTAAAGAATCTTTAATAAGGTCAGGAAGTATGCCACCATTAGCACTGTTCTGTACACTGTAGAGAGCTTTCACATCCCATATGTATCCCCAGATGTCTTCTCAGTTGTTTCAGTCACTTGTCTCTGCAGTGAATGAATCCTCTTGATGAAGCCAAGAATTTGATTTGTTTTTAACACTGTGTTACATAATTATTTTTCATTCATACGCGTTCACAGACTTCTCTAGCAGGGATTAGTTCACTACCATGCAACTTGAGTTTTATCCATTTTACTTCCTGCTGCCTTTAGCTTACCTAGAAAAGTTATTATTTTAGGAATTATGCCTTGCTTAAAATGAATAAGCATTTAATTTGCTTTCAAGCTGATTGATCATTAATCTTCCTGTTCATGGGAGCAATGTTGCCTATTGATCCTCTAAAGAATTTTCCCAATCTAGAAGTGATTTCCATCCTCTGCTTTACTTCATGAGACAAAAAAATAAGCCACCATTTCCAAATTCTTAATAGAAACATACAAGAACCACATTTTTTGCATTTCCTCAAAATGCCAAGTATTTCTTGAGGTCCATATCATTTGCCATATTTCTTGCTTTGAATTCAAACCTCAAATCTCAGTCTCTTCTGATGTGGGAAAATATGCTGTTTAAGATTTTTTTTGTCTTGGTTATATCTGTAGCATCAATAGTGTTCTCCACTCCCTGTATCCTGTCTAGAACAGCTTCTTCTGTTTGATTTAAAATGAGGCATTTTTAGCTTTTACTGAAATCTTTCTTTAATTACCTTTTCTTCCACATCCCAAAGATGCTTAAGGATTTTGGCTGGCTGTTCCCTCTTAGCTCAGTTACCAATTCTGGGTGTATATTCTGTTTGAAAAACATTGCCCATATGTTATATTTTTGCACAGAGTACTATATATAATGCAGTTCCATAATTATCTCCATCAGTCCAAGTTAGCAGAAATTTATAACAATCATTGAGAGCTTCCAAAGAAGCCATTATCGAAAATAAATCTACTTTTTGACTGGTTTTCTTTCTGAAAGCACTCAAAGCTTGCTGCTACCAAGTGTTGTTTAGCTTGTTTCAGTTGCCTACACTACTGCTGGTGAGACTTTCACCAGTTGCATTCTCTCCTCCAGGTATTTTCTGCAGGTAATTTGTTCTTGCTTCTCTGTACTGTTATTGCCCGCTCAGAGGGAATGCATGTGATGAGGTTTCCTTCAATCTAAGACCAGACTCCAACAGCCAGCACTTCACCAAATACTATTCTGTACCATGTAATTCCTTCTCCTAACCAGACTTCTTAAAGTTCAAAAATCAGACATCTGTTCTGCTGATGCTGTAGCATCACAACCCCAGGTGTGAAGTCAGATACCACACATCTCAATTTAAACTCGCAGTATGGACCCAGACAGAGGCACCTGTGGCAGGTGAGTGAGCTCTGGGATGTGCAGAAACATACAAAGATCATTTTAGCTGATAACCAAACACAGTCTAAATCTGTGGTACTCACAGGTGGGAATACCATCATCGCATGGAAAAAATATAAATGGGAAGGGTGGTAGAAGCTCCTATTTGAATCCCCAAATTCAAACTTCCTATTGGAAATAAGCTATGTGTTTAAAATCACTTACTGTGGTAGAAAGATGAGATAAGGCTTTAATGTGAAGAAGTTCTTCATATATAATTTCTAAATCATCTATACTTCTCTGGCCAGGCCTATAGGCAGAAGATAAAAGAACATCACAATGCAATAAACCCCCCAAATAAAAACTTCAGAGAAGTACAAAATAACCCATAATGCTACTGTATACTCTATTGAATATGTTGGTTACGCTTGTAGGTAAAACATAATTGTATGCTGGATATGATTCAATTAAACCATACACTTTGCAGAAGCAGAGAAAAAGAATAAGTACCACATCAAGCCAAGATAAGAACAGGAACTTGTTTAAACATTTTTACATCTTCATAAAAGGCAGATTTTTTGCTAAAAAAAATATATATATATATATATATTGAGTTTCAATACTACTGCCCAAACTGGTGTGGAGTAACACTGAACTCACCTCATTTCAGGATAGGAAAAAAAGGGTACACAGTAGTATGTATAGGCCATTTTGAGCCCAGAGCCACCTCCAGCACTCTGCTCTGCAGCGGTGTGTGCCCAGCCTCTGCTATACAACCTAACATCCTTTTACTACGTCTAAAGAGCAGCAGCTTTACCAGTTGTACCAAGTCACTGAAGCACACGTTCTTTTCCTGCAGCAGCAGGGCTGTTGAAGCTCACTGCCGCTGAGTACTAGACTCTGACTGCTGCCTACTCCTCACCAGGACATGACATCCATTCTGTCACAAACATGGTGTGCACCATGTGGCTATAGAAAACAATACAGACCCTAAGCACCTTTATTTCATTCACCATGGTTGCAGGAACAGGTGATGGTTCTGGATGGAAGACTGAAACTCAAAGAGAAAAGAAGCACTAAGAAACCCCTGAATGACACCAAGCAGCAGCCATGGCAACCATCTTACAGAGACCTGATTTGTCAGCTTTCTTGATGAAATAAAACATTCTGTATGTAAAATGGTCAGATAAATCAGAAATAATATATAAAGATCTGTTCCTTTCAAAAGGACTCCAAAGCCCTGGATGAGACCTGTACTATTTTTCACGAGGCACTAATTAGGTGTAGCAAATGGACAATTGTAGTGCTTTGTAAAGGAGTGCCTGAATTTCTGCTGCACAAATTCCAGGAGTAAGCAGTGCATCCCAGTGGACATCAAATGACTGCTCCAGAGTTAATGCTGAGTGCTGTTGTTCAGCCACAAAGGTAAGTAAGGACCACTCAGTTTTTCCACCTTCTTTCACTGAAAAACACAAGATGCTGCCATGAATAAAACACACGCATCAACAAAGGAATATCCCTCTCATAGGATAACAAGGAATGAGGCTCTCAGTGTGGTTTAAGTAACTGCATTTCTGCAGAGCCATACACTAGCAGATTTACTGATTGCTAAAAAGAAGAACAAATGCTCTGAGGACTGCAACAAATTAATAGGACATATGAATCTCTGGACAGTCCTAAAGGATCTGAAACAAAAAATGTTCCTCACAGAATATTACAGAAGAGTCCAACGCCTAAAGGATCGGGAGAATCATCCTGGATATAGTGGTCCACAGTTTTTCTGTGTAAACACTGCTTGGTTCAACAGTCTAAATCATGTGAGAAGTAGAGAAAGCATCCAGCAGTTATGTCACTTTGCAGCTCTATTTCATTTTTCTATAAAATAAGTTTGACAGAGACTTCTTTTGGAAGAAAGAAATACTGACAAATTATAGAAAATATAAGGACAACTGACCTCTTCTCTGGCAAGAAAGCTGCATTTTTTATCTATTCTTCATTTACCAATGACACACGCTTATTATTGCCAGATGAAAGACCAATTTGTAACAAAATGTTCTGGATCAAATTCACGTTATCCTTTCTTCATACAGAATGGAATATGTTTAGGGAGAAACAGAATCTGATCCGGTACTGCTATGCCCTCTAGTGACTCATATTATTCTTTTCTATTTCTAAATCTGGCTTGAAATTACAAGGCTGCCACTCCTAGTGATTTATGTGGGGCAGTAACAGCTTAATTAAGTATAAAATAAAGAAAGATAAGTTAGCACCATTCACTTTTCCTTGGAAATGTAAGAAACTGAAGACACAGATTTTAATAAAAAGTTCTCTCCAGGGGAAGTAACAACATGAATTTTATTGCACCCTTGCAAAACCAGCGTGTCTTGAAAAACAGAAAAGATAGTGTGTTGAATTAACAAATTCCTGCATGAGATTAGCATATGAATGGATGATGTCTAACTACATCAGATCTCTATCAAGACAAAAGAGTATGCTCTTCTTTCAGTATGTCCACTTGTGCCCTGTGTTAGCACATTGGAAAGACTGACAATCTATGCTGGATGTACCCACTCTTTACATCTGCTTCTGCAGATGTCACATGGAGAGATATTAGGCATCACTGCTTCTGTAAAACCTGTGTGGTGACCCACTGATGTTGATTTGTAAGATCCTGCTGTGTAAAGGCCTAGTTTCAGCAGGGGATATATTTCAACAGCAATAGCTGGTTATAGACAGGATAATAAACAGCATAGATAGAGAACAAGGCTACACGTTAATGGACAGGAGAACTCAGGTGGTATTAAGTGATCAATAAAAACAGTTCAGTGTTTGGAGAATTTATCAAGGTCAGAGACACTGAGCTTCTCTGTGACTACGATGTTGACAACAACATAGCACTTTGCCATTGATAAACTATGTACACACAAAAAATATCATTGATTATTTCTTATTACACTGTTAACCAGAAAATTCTCAGATAATAAGAACAATAGAAAAGATCAGAGGCCCCATAATATTGTATGCCAAATAAGCATATCTTTTCAGAGTACGAGTTTTGCCTGCAAGTACTACGAAGTCTATATAGGAGACAAGAATAATTTTGCCCACTACCTGCATCTGAACGTGGAAGTGAATACACGTTCACTTACTCTAGCATGAAAGCTAATTACATAATCTTTGTACTTGAATCAGTACCCTTTGATTAACTCCATAAATACCACTTGTCACAAATAATACCAGCAAATATCATTGAACTGATATGTGGAAAGATTGTATTACCTGCACCACAAATAACATTTGGTTTATTAAATGCCATTGTCAGAAAACCCCATCAAGGACTATGGAACATAATACAATTGTTATGGAGAAATTCAGTATCGTTATTACTGACAGCTGTGTAAAACGATGTCTAAATAAAAATTCTTCAAGACAGGAGAATAGATCTTGTTTATTTTTAAGAGCATCTTCAAAAAACTACATATTACTAACAGTAATTAAGTTGTTACTATATATGTGTTTATGTCATTCATTACTAAGTTCAGATCTCCCTAGCATCTTGTTCAGTTTTACTCTGCAAGTGACACTAAAATTTGCAAATCAAATGTGGAATCAAAATCTTTGTACTGAGGATAAAATTTGCTGAGTGAAATCACCAAGAACGTATGACAGAGAATTACTGTTCCGCCACACTGTTAATTTACTGTAGACTGTATTAAAACACAACATATAATCCATCTTAGTTAAATATCATTTTCTAATGAACATCACACTCTCCTTAAAGACTTCTGTTATCACCAGGTTCAGCTTTGTACGATAGTATGCTATTTAATTAGGAGTAACCATGTGGTTAGCTATACCTGAATGTTATTAAAATCAACTAACAATATATTTTCAGCCTGTATTTTCACACTGGAGGATTGAAAAGCTCGTGAGGAAGAGCTGTGTTAATTCTACAATGACTTGCACGAGGTCTGCACCTTGCTCAAGGGAACAGAGAGCTGTGTTTGCTGCTTCACAAAAAGCTGTTTTCACATTCACCGTGTATGTGTTTCAAAAAAAGGAAAAAAAAAAAATCCCTCAATAGCAACAAGAGCCTGCCAAAAAAAATTCCCTGAGCTCTATTCTGTTTTTTAAACTATAGAACATTCTTTCACATTCTTTGACAGTTAAAATGCTGCAGTTAATGTAATAAACAGAGAATTTTTTAAGTCGGCTGTCAAAACAAGTGACACTTTTTTCTAGAGATTTTCAGATTTTGAACAATAGAAAGTACCTTTCAAAGCAACATCTTCATTATACAATCAAATTCTCAAAGTAATCTTCTCATCAAAGAATATTGTCTTATTTCCTTCATGGTAATTATCGAAGTTCTGCAACCTCTCCGGAAATGGTAACTGCTACAAAAGGCAGCTGTGTCAGTTTAAAAATTGTGGTCCTGTTCAGGTCATCTGCAGCTAGAATCTCTGAAGACCTGACCATTCCTTGAACTTTTGGCAGCTGTAATGGTGTCTAGTCAAAACTAGCAGGACTTTGAGGATTCACAGAGATTTCAGCAGCTTTGATGCACCTCAGCACAGACTAGATTCTTAACTAACAGGGTCATAACGTATGTAAACTGAATACCAGGAGAGTAGTTAATATGGTGCCTGACAGTACAAACTTGCTCTTGTGAGCAAAGGGCAGCAAAAATAAGCACTTACAGGGACAGAGAAAGGGAAAAATGTCAGATGACCGTCAGTCTTGAGAAAACACTATTCCCCTCAGTATATTGCATGAAAAATCTCCTATGAATATTCTTTCAGGTGATGCTGTGCAAGTAACAACACAGGGGGGAGAGCGATACTTTTCACAGCATCATACCGACCTTTCAACTCTGCAAGGCGTGTGGATGATAATCAACACTGATCTTGCCAGCGTAAACTTACACTGGCTGATCAGAAAGTCATGATGGAAAGAGAACGTAGTAGGCAGCTGAAAGCACAGTGACCTAAGGGGGCAATTCTCTAAGATCCAACCTGCACTCTGCCTGAGGCAAAGGAGACGGTGCAGAGATGCAGGGTCACAGCATGCAGGATGCTGCTCATAGTCTCCTGATGACCAGCATCTACTCACAGCCCTCTTTTGCTCCTCAGTGGAAAGTGCACAGGATATTTTTGTTAGGAGAAAATACTTTACTTTCGCTGATATAATAGTTTACATATACACCACGCTCCCAGACTGGTTTGTCTATGTGTTTTGTGTGATAGGGATTGTCCTGGACTAGACTTCTACCAAATGGAGGAGAGAGAAACTATTCTGGCACAGTAGTGTTACCCACTTTTATGAGCACAAATATCTGGTTGAACTTTCTGAAATTCAATGCCTTCATCCAGGTGCCACCTAACCGGTATTCCTGGAGTATGTTGACTCACTGTGCAAATAAGGTTATGATCTAAATAGACAACACTGGGACAAGAATAGAGCAGGGAAAGGGTACAAATAGAAACAGAACAAGAACAAGCAGCTGTGTTAGATGGATTCAAGACATTTTTAGCATAAGATTTCTCCTACACAGTAGCCATGGCCCAAGCCACTGGCCTCAAAAGAAGTAGGATCCAGCTCTATATACTTAACTTTCTTGATCTGACCCTTACAAGTAAATCATTTGTGAGGATGGCCTTAAGTAAATCATTATTCTCAGTGCACTTAATTAGCAGTAAAGTATGTCTTCAGTGGCCCCTAAACACTACCTGCATAATAAGGAGATTGCTTTCAATGGAAGGTCAAACAGATTATATTGGTTGCTTTGAAGTCACTATAAAGCTGCCTGTAAAGAAAGGGCTTTGCAGAGTATTCAGTGTGAAAGGATGGTTAGCCAACTGGTGAGTGAGAAGACATAATCTGATAACTACGAAAAGGTTAGACAGACATCCTCTGTGGCCTAGGTATAGAAAACATTTATATCTTAAAAAACAAACAAACAAAAAAAAACAACACCAAGCAATGAAAATAAACCCACAGAGCCATATTTCACACCATGCTAGTGAAGTACAACAGGCAAAGTCCAGACTCTCTCAATTCAATAAACTTCTACCAAATATGAAATTAATTATGGGCTCCCACTGATGACTAATTGAAAGATACCTACTGTGCTGACAACCTTTCCTTCCAAGCACTGGTAACAACTGAAAGTGGTGTAGTTAACTGAATGGCATGCCAGCACTGAAAGTGTTAATGGAACTTGCACCTTACTTTTAGGGATACTCAGAAATGAAATAAAAACTCACATACTGCATTTTCTACAGGATATGATAACATTCATAAAATACATGTTCTAATTTATGAATAAGGACTGGAAATTACTTAGCATTGACTAACAAACTTAGGAGGCTGAGTAAACTTGCACTGAAATGAAATAAGCTAAAGGATGCCTGGTGCCTTCCCATCCTCCAGTGTAACAAGAAAGGTTCAGTGTTAATTTTTCTCATCTGCTTACGGTTTTCTGAGAATCATCCTCATATGAGCATCTGGCCCAATCTGAGACAGAAGCAGCATAGTATCCTGTAGCTCCTCATCACACTCCTTTTTCTCTTCCTCTGATGGCAAAGGGGCATCTTCACGCTCATCATCCAAAAATCGATAAAATAAGTATTTGTCCTGAAAGTGGTGTTCCTGGTCCACTGAAAACAACAGAACATATCAGACACTTCACTCTACTCTCTAAAATTAACCTTGTAGAAATCTGCACAGCACTGCATGTGCTGCAGATATATTTCTGAAGAAGGGAAAGAAAACTACTAGAAACTTCAAGAGCATGAAAAACCCTTATTTCTCACATATGTCTAAATTATGTAATTTGGATGGTACATTTCTAAACTGTGTACAACACATACTTTCCAAAATACTTCTATATATGTGCACTGTGGTGTATATGTATGTGCATGCACACATTTTTCTTACTAGATCTTTTTCAGTTCTTATTGTTTCAAACCATTTCATTTAAGCACACAATTCATACTTGGAGAATATTTGCATCAAGAATTTCTAAGGGTTGTACTCTAGTAGATGAACATCTTATTCTAATTGTTTCAGACAGGGCTGAAAAGTAACAAACCAAGAGGCAGCTAAAATCATGTTCCAGTAATACGTATCATCAATATGTAATACCAGAGTGAAGATCATTGACCTGTATCTTAGTGGAGAGTGTACTAGTAAGTCTTCTCTTGGAAGACTGCTAAAGAGAGGCTGTGACACAGCAAAAGACAAACTCTTGGTCTTCCAAGCAAGTCATAATGGTGTGTTGAGCTGGATAGTGTGATGCAGTTGCAGCAGCTTGACCCTAGGAATTCAAGACAGTATTAGGCAGGAAGCTACAGCCTTTTATGAAAGGAAATGGTGGAAACAATCTGTCTTCTCAGAATGCAAAGTTCTCCTTGAGATGTGGGAAGCACAACAGACAATGACTAGAAGCATATTTAATATGCTGCTGTTCTGAACTTCATAAAACTGTACAAGCATAGCCTCAGATATGAATGCTGCTCTAGAAAGCTGCACTTTGGAGGTCTGTAACATTCTGCTACCTAGCAAACCCTGCCAAGTGGAATCCATGAGCCAATGTAAAATACAATCAGATAACTAACATAAATTCCCAGATCTCTGCACTGGGATATCTGGGGTGCTGAATTTGGGAACCATTCAAAAACCACTGAAAATCATCCCAAAATTATGGATATGAGCAAACTGAAATGCTTACAGTCAAGTTAAAAATTTGCAGCATTTGGAAGTGAAGATCAGTTTTATGTATGGCAATATATATCTTGGTTTTGGTTCAGGTGATATCCAGCTTTTGGAACATAATCACAAAGCAGTGTAACAATAAGTCTAATTAGAGTTGCTTCTCCTACATTGCAATTTCACTGATTTTTCAATATTTTCATAAATTATAAAGGTATATTGGTAGCAAGATTCAACTATTATCATCTGTATATTGCATACAAATCAAACTTTTGAAGAGCTTTATTTGTAGTTTTTCATTTAGGCTCATGATCCCTTTATTTTTCATGAAAGAAATTCACAGAAACACTGATGGGATACATTCACAAAATTTTAATCGAGGCTCTGAATTTCTTTAACTTACCATGGTTAAGAACACCTTCTTCCAGCAATACTTGCCACATGCCAACAGCCTGACTTCGTGAATGGACACAAGTACTTTGCTGCATCATCCAGTCAACAAGTTCTGTCCCCACACAGCATTGCCTAAAGGACAAATGAACAGAAAGGAATGAAAAGGGTGCTAATCAAGAGAGATCACAAACAGTATCTACTAATAACAGTGCTATCTCAAACTCTGTTTTAGACAGATCTCATTGTAGAAGACAATTACACTGCCTCTGCCTGTGTGTCTGAAATACCAGTGAAGGCACTTAAGTTTTGAGAGAATCTGCTCCAAAGACCAGCAAATGTTTAGGGAAATGCAACATCCAGAGCATCAGTGAGCCTCTAACAGCTGATCAAAACCCACAGCACTGGTGCCACAACCTTCAACCCGTATTTCAGAGGAAATCTGCCATGTATATAATGGGATAGTGAAAGCCTCAAATTTTTCAGCATTCTGCATGAAAACATTTAACACTATAATAGCTCTGCCTATTATAGGGAGAGTGAGTATTATGTGGATTTTCCTCAATTTGTAACCAAGCTCTGGTTAGACTGCACTTAAGGGCACTTGTTTGTATGTTTACATACAAAGTCTGACATTCTGACTCTCTCTCACACCAGGTTCTGGTCACCTTGCAGCTCCTTACTGACCTGGAGATGAACAGCAGCAGGCCTCAAGTTCTGCAGAGTGCCCAAAGTGGAGTTGGGGAGGAAGAAAAAAAAAGGGGGGGAGGGGACCTGTTGTCACTACGTAAAATTCTGTCTTAACACACCCTAACACAGCAGAACAGAAGCAAATGTGCAAAGTCATCAAAACTGTACAAATCTATAACTGATGACATGTAGAACAGCCTGGTTCTGCAGTTCATGCTTCACTTTCTGAGACCAACGAAGTAGATACTACAGAAACTACTGTAATGTAGCTTAAATAACGCTCTTGCAATTAACATCCCATTTTGATGACATAACTTTTCCTCACCTCGACACAATCTAACCTTTGAAATTCCATATTTAGAAAAAAACAAAGATAGCAGCGTACAAGTTTTCCCCAGTTCTATACAAGATAAAATGCTGCAGTTATTTGGATCAGCATTGGTCTTCATATATCACACTTGCTCTTTTGTTGTCCTAAAACAATGAGCCAATGCCATGTCATGACAGATCACCACACAAGCTTCAAATACCTTATATAATATTAAATACATTTTGGACAATAATATGGAAAATCAATGCACTTATTTTAAAAGTGAATCAGCAGCATATTGATTTACTATTTAGAAAAGGCCATACGCAGAGGTTTTAAACCAATTTTTATTTAAATATTCACCAAATAATGCATAAGGTATTTTATTCAAACCTTAGATGCTAAAATGAACTGATTATTTCCTAAGCCAACTGTAGATAAAACCTGACTCCCTAAAGTCAGGTTGCTGTTCTGAAAGTGCCATTGTTATCCCACTTCAACAAGGCAGTGCTGCCACCAGCAGGAAGATAAGAAAGCCTGACGATACACTGAAAAAGGTGACTGAATAGGGCAGAAAATCTACATAAGGAAAAAATCTCACTAGGTGAATTTTCAGGTTCCACAATGAGCAACTTCGTTGGAGCAATCAGTACACTAACAATCTAATTGAGCTTTCCTATTACATCTCACAAACGTACAAAGAAATGAGAATCTACATTTCGCACAGAATATCCCAGCTAACTATGCTATTAACTTTGGAAGACTTTTTTTTAAGTGAATGATCTGTTCAGAATTGTGGACTCAATTTCCAGTCAAATCACTTCAGAAAGGATTTACCAGGTTCATTAAAGACCCATAACATACAAGTTCAAATAGCATCACAGGATAATTTCAGGCCTTTTGAGACCTGAGAGTATGGCTTAAATCACAAATCAGAGGATGGCAGGCATAAAAATTCAGAGACCTCTATACAATCAGCTCACACACCTGTAAGTCTTCAGATGATATTTACGATCTCTTATCATGTGAGGGGCTCGGGACAGAATTGTATTCCGCAAAATCTTTCCAGCTCTGAGGATCTTTTCTGAAGGAACCTTGGTGATCATGGAGGAAAAAAAAGGGACCAAGACACACACATTTAAATCTTTCCACAGTCTCTGCACTGACTTCTGCAAAACAAAATACAAATTCTCTTCGCCCTAAATTAAAAGTTCTTGTGTAGATGCTTACTTATGCAGAGCAATGCAATATATTGTACATATTAAGTCTCTCGTACTTAGCACATTAAGAAAGGCATGAGGTCAGCTGATTCCATTTATCTAGCAGCCTGTCTCTACAGCACATCTACGTCCTATTACCTGTGTAATGCTTTTAGAGGGACGATGTGGGATGTGAGAGTCAATAAGAGGTGTCTGAAAAATAAAATTAAATTCAATATATTTTAAAGGTTGAACAGTAAGGTAAAACAAAGACATTAAAAAAAAAAAAAAACCACACCACAAAATGAACCAAAAAAAAAAAAGCTGTAAAACCAAAGATATGAGTAAAGATGAATAAACAAACTCTAAGCTTTCCAAAGTGCTAATGAATGTTCCAGTGGCCAAACACCGCACCAGAGCTGAGGCTGTGAAGGCATGGCTAGCTCCTCTGCTTGCTGCTCTCAGTCCCCTGTGGGCACAACAGCATTTCTCTGCAGGTGACTGTCTCTACATCAGTCCCCCCACCTCAGAAACTCTTACCTTCTATAGCACCTATTTCTATTTGGCTCTCTTCTCCTGGCATAACACATGAACAGGAATGAAGGAAAAGCTCTGCTCCCACTATGTCTTTGCTAAACTGTCTCACACTGTCAGCAACAGTTTCACAGCTGCTTACCAGAGTCCTCTGAAATGCAAGAGCCCACAGACCACTCACAGAGGCCTGGGTAGAGACTTTCACAATGGAGAAGGAAGACTGAGGAAGGAAAAGTAAGAGCAGACCAGGCGACTTAAATCTTCAAGAGGAGGAGTGAAAGGCCAGGCCTCTAGAAGGGTCAAAATGAGAAGGTGAAAGAAAGGGGGAGAGGAAGCATGTCGCAGGATAGATGGAAAAGGAAAGCAGAGTTGAAATGACTTTAGAAATGGAGGGAAAACAAAACTAATTTCAGCAGCCACCTCAGACTTGTTGGGATAATGTTTAGCTATGTTGCAAATACAGGGCCAAACATGTTTCCAGTGTGACACAATACAAAGGCTGAATTTGGTGCCCTGGGCTCGCCAACATCAGTCTGCACCAAACACGGAAGTCTCCCGCCAGGGCAGGACTGTGCATTGTGGCACAGAGGAGCTGTGCCAGCACACCTTGCACCTCTGCTGAAGCTAAGCACTGCTGAACTGCCAGGAACTGGTGTCCATAAGATGGGCATCTGTTTGCTAACTCCCACAGGATTTTAATGCTGTAACAAAGGCCTTGTGGAAATCAGATAGTGCTAGAGCTAGGAGTGCAGCAGGACACTAGAGGTCAGCTGAGAAGGGGAAGATGAGGAAAACATGTGACAGAAATCAATAAAGATAAGAGGCATGGAATGGGGAGGCCTGTAGATGAAAAACTATGCAAACGGTTTTCCTTTCTACTCACGCCTTACAAGAAGACCATGAAAAGGCAGATCAATATAAACAAGTTAGGACTTATGTTTTTTCTTAATACTAAATCTAAAGATTTTTTTTAAAGATTCAGTTAAGTTATTATCATTTCTGCCACCAGAAAGGGGGTGGAACATTGGTATTTGTTCTGAACCTGTGCAGAGCATTCTTTAGTCAGTCTATATTTAGGGTTAAAATATGCTAAAATAAGCAAGAATCTTTTGTAATTTGCCTCTGATGCAAACAAAACCATCAAGTAAAGGTTTCAAACATGTAAATAAGAATGACAAATTTAGGGACATCTCTCTGAGCATTAATAATTTTTGTTTCCATTTTATTTTAAAATGATTTGATATTCTGTTCAATTTCAAAGAGACTGGATGAAATACATGCTTAATAAGCTGGTTAAAATGGCACTGAAGTCCTGTAAAAATTATTTTAAAATTTATATACTTAAAAGATATTTTTTTTAATCAACAAAGCACAATATACTAAAATCTAGCTTCCAGATATGAATATACTTCAGAGGAGAAATAAAATATGTAACACAAAAAATACAACTCTTCTAGAATAGTGGCTATATAAAAGACTCTTTCACTAGACTAGTGAAAATGAATGCATTTTTTACTCTGTAGAGAGTTTTCATTAAGTCACAACAAAAATGCATAAAACCAGTCGTTGAAAAGAAAATCAAAGATTAATGAAGAACTATCAATAAACATCCTATTCTAATTAAAACAGAATATGAGAGAACTTATGAAGAGATCAGATTCAAGCTCAAAGCATGCAACATGAAAAAAAAAAAAAGAAAAAAGTAAAAAACAAAACAACAAAGTAAAAACTAAGGTAAAAGCTAAGTCAGAACACGAGAATCTGTTGTTCTCCTGCATTTGATCCTGACTAATTCAGAAGGACCAACTGAAAAAGCACAAAGTGTCTTGGATGAAGGTGATTTCATGAAATGATCCAGTGTCAACACCTTTCTGAAAGAAGTAAAAACATCAAAATAGAAACAATGGGTTGGGAAGAAAAAATGCCTGCAGTGGATGCTATGGAAGGAGAGGGGGGAGCAAGTTTAAACTAAAAGGACTTAAGGAGTTACAAAACATGTTCCAGAAGCACACTAATAGTAAAGGAAAAGTATTGATTTGCTTGCTCAACAGAAGGAAATCTGTTGTCAGATAACTCAGAAAGTCCAAAAGCAGTTGATTTTTTTTTTTTTTTGTAGTTTTCATTAAACTGATAAGCAGCAGAGAGATGGCTAGAATCCTTAGTAGCACAGTTAGAGAGGAAAATGTCAGCCTGAAAAAATGAAAAGAACGGATGAGAAAATTTATGTCAATTAGGTAATTTCAAATTGGCTGGCTTTGGAGAATTACATGCAGGAAATCTGAAAAGTTTGATGAACCGAAGACAGCTGCAGCCATCTCAGAACTATTGCCACTCATCTCTGAGAGTTCTTGCAGACTAAGCAGCAGAAGATAGAAAACTGGGAGAAGAACTGAAGCATTATAGACATGTCAGCCTAACTTGTCTTCCTAGAAAAAAAAGTCCATTTGTAAACAGCTGGAAAAGAATGGGGAGCTGAATAACACATGATATACATTAATCAAGAACAAATCATGCCAAACTGATCTAATTTGCATCCAGCGAAGTTAACAGATTGGAAAGAACCAGTAGATTTTCAGCTCTATTACTTTAGCAAAACCTCTGGTGTTGGCTCACATGATCTTCTCTTCTACAAAAGGCAGATTAAATTCTTACCAAATAGGTGCAAAGCCAGTTGGAAAACTCCATTTTAAAAGCAATTCCCAGTGAAGCACTTCCCAGCAGGCATCATACTAATGGTCTGTTTTGAAAAGGGTTCTCAAAAACATATCATATATCTAATACTACTAGCGTGGGATGAAGCAGAATGTACACTGATTGATTTTGCAGGGAACTTCAGGATGGAGTGGACTACACACTCACTGGAGAACAAGTTTATAGATTTGTTACAGTTTTGATACTGGCCTGAAAATATACGATGTTATTATGCAACACAGATAGTACTGAATACTTTTCTGAAGTAGGCAAATATGCTACAGAAAGACAGAGTAGGGAACAAGTGTCTTTGCAGTAATTTCAAAGAAAAACAAGGTTGATAACAGATATTAAACAGAGCTGATTAACCAATGCCATACTACTCTGAAAGTGACAAATACAGTATGAGGATGCAGTGGCTGATTAGATACATAATGCAGCTCTGCTTTAGTCAATCTAGATAAGACCTAAGCTAAAGCACTGTGTCTTGTCTGGATACATAACTTCAAAAGCAACTAAGCCAACTGAATTTAGAGAACAGCAACAAGAATAATGAGAAAGCACAACATAAACAAAAAACAATCAAAGTTGTTCAGCTACAGAAAAGACAAGTTTTAGAGTGTGATAAAAAAAACCCAAACTCTTCAGATTTAAAAGGCCTTCTAAAAAGAAAAAAGAACTGACCTAGTCCATTGAATAGAGATCAGAAAATAGAGTTTAAAATGCTGCGAGAAAGAATTCAGATTACATCAGTGAAGCTTTTCTAACAGAACAGACAGCGATACTGGCAGGGAGGTACGGTTCCTCCATCTTTGGAGGCTTGAGACAATACACAGGGTGCCTGCCAGGAGTGACAGCTACAGTCGTGCATGTGGCTCGTGGATGGACTAGATGATTTCCTAAAAACCTTTTACACTCTGTGGCACTGTGCAGTTTTCAAGGACACCTTTACATATCTAAAAGTACTTCAGCCGCAAGGTGATGCTGAAAGAGATTATCAATAACACAACCCCCAAGCAACTACACTGGTCTCAAGAAAGCAAGGCAGCCACTGAGGAACCACTTGGCCGCCCAAGCTGCAGCTTCTCAAAGACACTGCATTGAGCTTTGGTTGCACCAACCATGGGATGAAATGCAATAAATGGAACCATATGGACTGGGTTTGGAATAGAAAGGCAAGTCATACTACAAACACAGAGAAGCATAATATCAATTAATTAATAGCAGATACAATGCTCCTATAAAACTTCCCATCAGAGAAACTGGATTTTGCAAGGAATCATATAATAATTATCACAACTTGGTTGAAGTCCAAGTTTTACAAGTCTACCATTTTGGATCCTCCGTTAAGAGATAATTAGAAAGCACTAAGAAATAATGAGGGAGCTTTCCCCATAAAACTGCAGAGTACAGTGTGTTTAATCACCTTCTTGATGCATTCTTGTATTCTTGAAGAAATAATGTGAGTGAAGCACCTACATGTGTCTACTTGATCACATTTTCCAGGGCTTCTGAATCAGGGGAAAAGTTATGAGGTGAAGACCTCTAATTTGCAAGCCAGATATAATAGTTTAACAAATTACTGCCCATCTCTTGGCCACAGTAGTGACAAGCTTTAGCTACTTCATGCCCTTTTCCAATTAGTGCCCTCAGACAGTTTACTATGATCTGCTGTTGCCGCTGTAAAGCAGACATAGATGGATCTGGAGGGTAGAGAAGAAGGGGCTGCAGGTGTCAGAAGTGGGAAGCGGAAAGAGAAAGCAAAATGGTTTTCAGTTTAACGCTGACAGACAATCTCTGTACATTTATGAATTCACATTCAAGCAAACCATTCATGAAGCCAGTCATTGAAACCCTCTTTAAATTGGGTTGAAGCAGAGGAAGTAAAAATCTTAGCTTGCAGTCCTCTGAAGATTCAAATATTTATGCATGAGGGCAATATCATAGACCTAAATAGCACTATTCCAATGTTTAACATTATGCACACA